CTTGAAAGTAGATTAGTTCCTCAATGAAATCACATCTATTTACAATTAATTATGGTGGCAAGTTGTCATAACGGAAAGAATATCAAAGAAGTTGGAACTGGTTTTTTCAAATTATTGTCGATTATAATTTTGTTGTACACCTTCTGAATAACTAGATTACTATGTGTAGGTATTCCTTTTAGCGTTTTAGGTTACTTGCAATCTTCCCGATTTACAGCCATTTTTAGTTTGTTCATGTGCAATTTTTATTTCTCACTTTATGGTTTCATGTGGTCTGGTATGCCTGTACTTAAATCTCATCTGTTTGAAGCATAAATATTGTAGAGGTTAGTTGCTACATTTCAACTTGAAGGGTGAGGATGGAAAGGTGCTTGCAAATAGCGGATCATTGGGAGCTTACCTCTCGGGTCAAGGTCACTAGTGATTATCGAGTGTGTAACTGGTCAATTTGGGGACAGTAGGCTGACTAGTGACTTGGGAAGCGAAAGTGGTCAGCGGTCCCAAAACGTAACACAAGTTCATAGGAAGGGCTGAGAAAAATGTTTTCTGAAGAGTTTTGATGGACATGATCTTACAAACCTGTGTCTAAAAAGTTAAAAAAATGTTCACAAGTAGGCAATCAACATGTGTTAAGTAATTTACTGCATTCAAAATAATCAACTGACAACAAACACTACTTTCCTTCTACTTTGTAGACACCCTCGCTATCATGTGATTTTGTTCTACGCATATAGAAGCAAAATGTTGGTTGACCACTTTTGAGGTGGACAAGATAATTTTTACAATAATGCGTCTACAATCTACCTCCGAACTAGCCATAATTAAATAACCTTTGAAAAACTGGGGAGCACTGAACAGTTTATTCATTCTAGTGTAATTCCCTTTAAAACTGTTCATCCACGAACCCATCAGATATGGAATCTATAAATTTTAGGTCTCACTTTGAATACCTAGCTCAAACTAGTATTCATTATATAATATTATTTTTCTTAGCATCCTAATAACGTTCATCCAGTAAGTTAACTTCGATTATAAGTGTGTTAATTGGTTATGGAATCATTCTTTTTCTTTATTGGTAACTAAAACATCATCTCTTCACTGTTTAGTATAACAGAAAATTCCAAGAAATACAAATTTGTCACTTAGAATCCTATTTTCTTCTTATTATAAGTTCCTAGTTCCATCTCATCTTTATTAATTAAGTATAGTAAATATTCATATATAGTTATATTACTACTACTACTACTACTACTACTACTACTACTACTACTACTACTACTACTACTACTACTACTACTACTACTACTACTACTACTACTACTACTACTACTACTACTACTACTACTACTACTACTGCTACTACTACTTATAACTCCATTCTACTTGAAGGTGATATGAAACCTCTAAATTAAATAATTTCTTTTTATTTCACATATCTCATTGCTCTTTCCTAAAAAAAAAACATTCTTTTTAAAATGAAATAATCATAGCCAAATAATCTTACTAATAAATTTGAAATATAAACAACTCCATTTTTATTCAACATTCAGTCATAATTCAAAACCACTATTCAGTTCAAGCATCAATACATGAACAAAACATACATGTTGAGTGTAAATTATTTCTATTCCAAGGCTTAATGTCTATGATTGAGATCATGGACCGATTGATGTTAGACCACCGTTGGAAACCTGGAAGCATTGGATGGTAGTTTCGTCCTATTGTGCGACTCTTCAGCAGTGCGGATTTACAATCCCGCCTCGCGAGATTCAAACCCAGGGTCTTCAGTCTCGCGCACGAACGCTTAACCTACTAGACCACTGAGCCGGCATCCAATTGTGTTAGTATCTAACATCAACCAATCCACGAAATTGCGCGACCATCTTCCACTGTACTAAGGTAGATACCTGTCTGTACCTGACACAGGCCCTGGGTCCGAATCCTGCGCACTGCTGAGGAGTTCAACAATGGGACGAAACGCCCATCTAGTGCTTCCAGGTTTCCAAAGGTGGTCTAACATCAATCGGGTCATGATCCCAATCAAAAACTTAATAACCTTCACAACCCGTATAGAGGTTGATGTTTATTTTATTTTATTACATTATTTTTTTTATTTACAATATATCACCCTAATTTTTGGATAAATAAAATAATGTGAAATGAATTGAACAAGAAAACAAAAAGAGAAAGGAAAAAGAAGAAAATTGATCTAATAACAGAATACTGTGTGCAATATATCGCGAATGATTTGTCAATGTTTCATTTTTTAAAAAAAAGAAAATCTTTCCCCCCTACTGTATTTTCAAGCTTTTCTTCCACTAACCTCTTCAAGAAGGTTGATGTTTATTATTTTTTATTTTCTGGTTGTTTACTTTGTATCATACCATATTTATTTCATTTTTCAACTACATAAAGTAAGGTACATATACATATAATTACAACACACACACACATGCATTATTAGCATATTAACATAGATGTACATGTATATTTTTCTAGTTTGCTTAACTAAATACTACCAATAACATTGGGACTAAATAAGATACTGTTTCAAAATTGACACCAGGATAATGTGTAAGTGTTAAGTTAAAACTCGACTTGGTTTTGACATAATCTAGTAAAGAACATTGTGTGTGTGTTTTTTTTAAAAAGGCAACCTTTATATTATTATTTTTCTTTTGTATGTATATTCATGGTTCGTTCATTTATCATTTTTGTTCCAAAATATTCTTTCAGTCTTTTTTCGTTGTTGTTGTATTTTTGCACTTTATATCATGATTCCTGGACAACACATGAATAGACATATAGTAATAATAATAATAATAATAATAATAATAATAATAATAATAATAATAATAATAATGAAACGTTTCCTTTTTTAACCAATCAAATTTTATTTTCAATGGTTAAGATCATGAGTCAGTTGAAGCTTCCAGGTTTTCCATGGTGGTCTAGCTTCAACTGACTTGTTATGGATGCAGAATGATATACCAATCATTATCATGTTAAGTCTAATGATGTCCTTGGACCTTAAATGGACATTCCCTATTGGCCGTTATTTATTTCACTCGTTAAATATTGTACAGATGTTGTTTTCTATTTTTATGGTACGATGTGGTCTGTTTGGTTGGTATGTTTGAAATATAACGATTCATAACTCAGAGGCTGTGACTTGCATTCTAGACTCAACTGGCTGGGCTAGACAGGGAAGCGGGGCCAATCGGGACTCTAAGTCGTCCTTACGTGTTTTACGTGCCACTGAGTTGATCGATAAAACGCTGCTTATCAAACCTGCAGTCACCCGTTACAACATGACTCATGATCTTAACCATTGAAATTACTACAATATCCACAAAACCCATCTGATATTAATCAACATTCGCTCACTAATGACTGGCTTCCCGAGGTATATCCTGGAGTTCTAGTGACAAGTAGTGACCAGTGGAGTTCAACCAGGTCTGTAGTGAGATAGTAATTCACTGAAGACAATGGTGAATTTGTAGCTGAATTTCTTGGATTAGTTGAAGTTAGACATCAACACCGTTGGATGCTGACCAGTTCAGTGGTCTAATGGTTAAGCTCTAAGGTGCGAGCCTCGCGAGGCGAGGTCGTGGATGCGCACTGCTGAGGAGTCCCTTATTAGGACGAAACGGCCGTCCAGTGCTTCCAGGTTTTCCATGGTGGTCTAGCTTCAACTGACTCATGATCTTAACCATTGAAATTACTATAATATCCACAAAACTCATCTGATATTATTTAAATTTTATTAAAACGTTTGCTAATAATGATATAATCATCAAAGCCTTTGAACAATTTAGTACCCATCTGAACGTGATAATTCAGTGGATAATCGATTGGCATTTTACATTGAAAGATACTGAATTGATGTGTTAATTTTGATGTCAACATAATACAGTGCATATATATCCGGCTGACAAGTCTTAGATATCACTAAATGAGATTGTTAGATTTCACTGATATCTACAATCCATTTATTTTGTGAATCTTTGTGATGTTGAGATAATGTTTTATATACGTAATTTGTGATTTATGTAATTTATGTACTGCCTGGATTCTTTATTGGACTGACTTGTAAATATGTCAGTAATTCACTGGTTGATATAACAAACACTAATATATGTGTATAAATACCCATGATTTTCTGTTCATTTTGATTCTTACCCAACAAACACTTCACCAGATTTTTTCTGTCTTTCGATTTGCGACTGTACGGTTCTATACGTTCTAGGAGCGTTGTTGTATACCATATTCTGCGGTAATCAAGTGGCGAACATAACAGTTATTATCTCAGATTATAAATTTCTTGAGTAATTTTAAGCGTAATGAGATTACTTTTTTCACTAAAACTTAAACATAAAGATGAATATAACCAAAACTGTGGTGGATAGATTAACACTTTTTTAAAATTATCTCCTCGATAGATTGCATAATCCTTTTGAACAAAAAATGTATTAGCACACCAAATCAATTCCAAGACATGAAACTTTGTCTCACAACATTTACATTGTTCACTCATAGATTGAAAATAATAATAAAACAGGTTGTTGATAGATCATGATAGGTCATGATAGAATTCTGATCAATCTTTGTTGAGATATGTGAATCCTCTGTGAATTGCCTCCATATAGATATTTTTTACCATATATTATTTTACAATAAATGAATTGTAATTAATGGTAGAATTCATTACTATTGTTTCGTCAAGTTCAAGACTCTTAAGCGGAAAGGAACTTCATCTTACAATTGATATTTACACCAGAACTAGAACCTAGCACCTTTTGGTTTAAACAGCCGATGTTTAGCTGACGCGACCTAAATAGGACAAGACATATATCCTGGATTCAACTACTAGCCACAATGTATTTAAATCTATGTTAATAATAATATTTTTACGTGTAACGGTTTTAATATTTCATGTAAGATCAAAATATAATAATAAAACTTATTCTCAATTTGTTTTTCATTTGTATACACTTTAGATCTTATATGAAGTTGTTTCACATTCTACAATCTGTTTAATGACACATGAAAGACAACAAACATTATGCTTGATTCAAATGTTCTTACGTGATGTTACTGAGCAAGAAAAACAAAATAAACAATCTGTTGTACATTTGCAAGAATTCTCGTCAAAAGATTGGGCATTAGATAAAGTATGTTATACATAAATGTTTTCTTATTTTACATTGACTCGTAATAAAAACATATTTTAGGCTAATAATTATTACTAGTATAGAGAGTTTGTGAAAATCTTTTAATTTTATTGTTTGGACGTTGGAATGATTTAAGTTAGACAACCATTGAAGTCCAGAAAAAACTGGATAACTGATTTCTTCTGGTGTTGGACTCCTCAACTGTGTTCATCAACTATACCAATGAGGATCGAACTTAGGATCTTCGGTCTTGGAATGTTCTAGTGGTGATTTGTGATTAGGGCAGTGCAATCATGTCTACTGTGAGACAGTTACCCATTTCACGCAATGTAAGATGGTTTCACAGTAGTGAGAATTAATTAAAGTACATGCACACCAGTGGACGGCTTCTCATTAGTCTCAGTGTTAATCAAAATTTGGAGGTTTCGAACTTGATCCCTGATGATATGGTTGGTGCTCACTGACGAGGAATTAAAAACCAGGAGAAAATATTTACCCGATTCTTCTTGACTTTCCATTTGTTGTCTAACGAACATCAGGTGTTATATAACTAGAAATTATATCACAGATTGAAATCATGAGTCAGTCGAAGCTAGACCACCATTGAAAACCTGGAAGCACTGGACGGCCGTTTCGTCCTAGTATGGGACTCCTCAGCAGTGCGCATCCACGATCCCGCACCACGCGGGGCTCGAACCCAGGACTCATGATTTCAATCTGTGAAATTTCTAAAATCTCCACAAAACCCATTCTGATAGAAATTAAATGTTAATCAGTATATTCCGTTAACTTGATACTAGTGCTCCCGAAACTTTTGCTGAAAATGGTTTGCTACTGATAAGCTATCGAGTAGTCAAAATAATATTACTAGTGTTTTGAGTATATTTTGAGTAGTACTTAAGCAACGAACATTTTCATAGAATCTGTTAGCTGACGTTTAATAGTAATCGTGAAAAGAGGTAGAAAACAATCAACAGATTATAATTTATTTTACTATTCGCTGGTAATGAAAAATCTATGATGAGGCCTTTCTTTTATATGCATTGTATATCAATCAGTTATTGATGGCTTGAATAGTGAAAGAATACACCTTCTAGTAAGCTTTGATGATCGTATAACGAATGATGGTTTGTTACAGAAGAGGATGGCAAATGAGTAACGATGGGTTTAAAACCTAAGAAAAATACAAAATTAGATCAACTTATGTGATTTTCCATCATTTTAAATAATCAGCCACTAATTTTAACCATCCAGATCTTCGCAATTAGATTATTTACATTTCATTACCAGACTAAGACCAAAAAACTGTTAATTTAATATATAGTAACCATGTTTTAGGACGATTAGCCAGGTTTTTCTCCTGAAATGACCTTATCCTGCTCAACTCCATAATTTAAGGAATACATTTTCGAACACACCATTATACATCCCTTGGACTCTGTGGTTGAATTGTACACAATAAATCATTTGCTCTCCGAAACGTTATGACTTGACAAAGTGTTGATACTGCCACTTCATTATGGCTGTGGTAAAAACTGTTATTTGCTATTTATTCAGTGGAACAAGACTGATATGGCTTGTTGTAAAAAAGGAACGTAAGACTAAGTAATGATTTCTTTACTCACTGAACACTGATTTCACCAGTGATATAAATAACATCAGTGTATATTGAAATGTATGTCATTTTAAACGTCTAGGCAATAAATGAATTTGAATGTAATAAGCTATCAGTCACCAACATTGTCTGATTTATAATATAATTTATGTGTATAATAGTATCACGATACATATTCAATAGAGTGTTGTTGAGCTCAATGAAAGATTTAATAGAAGCCTAACTTCGATATAAACAGACCGGATTCCGTAAAACCAGTCGTGCACAGATCGAATCGCTACACTTTGTATCATTGTTGAATGATCACTTGAAAGAACCCTTCACTGTACACCAAAATTCTTGACTATGATAGAGCATTTGACAGAGTGGATAGAAGAACACTATGGAACCTTCATCGACACTATGGTGTACCTGAGGAAATCGTCAGCATTAAACGGAATTCATACAATGAACTACACTGCAAAGTCGTGTATGGAGGACAGCTGATAGATGCGTTCCAAATGAGGACCGGTGTCAGACGATGCTGTTTGCTCTCTCCCTTTCTCTTTCTTCTGGTGGTAGACTGGATTATGAAGACCTCCACATCTGATGGGAAGCACAGAAAGCAATGAACAGCTTTCATGTAACTAGACGATTTAGACTTGATGATCTGGCTCTTCTAACACATACACACCAACAAATTCAGGAAAAGACAGTCAGTGTAGCAGCAAACTCTGAAACACCAGGTCTCATCGTACACAAGAGAAAAAGTGGGATCCGGAAATTCAATACATAGAGCACCAAATCAATCACACTTGATGTACAGGCTCTGAAAGTAGTGGGAAGTTTTACGTACTTAATGAGCATCATCGACAAACAAGGACGATCTAATGAAGATGTAAGGGCAAGGATAGCATCCCTACAGCCGAAGAACATATAGAACTCAAAACAGCTGTCAACCAACATCGAAGTTATAATCTTCAATACGAATGTCAAGTCAGTTACTTCTATTGTATGGAGGTGAAACGTGAATAACTACCACAACCATCATCAAAAGGATTCAAGTATTTAATAACAGTTGTCTACGCAAATACTGAATATCCGTTGACTAAATACCATCAGTAATAGCCTACTGTGAGAGAGAACAAACAAACTTCCAGATGAAGAGGAAACTAGAAAAAGACGATGGAAGTGGTGGGTGGGACATATGTTGAGGAAATCATCAAACTGCATGGTGAGGCAAGCGCTAACTTGAAATCCTGAAGGGAAGAGGAAAAGGGGAAGAGCATGGAACACATTACATCGGGAATCGGAGCCAGATATCAAAGGAATGAATAGCAACTAGGAACAACTAGAAAGGAATTCCCAGTACAGGGTTCAATGGCGAATGCTGATGAGCGGTCTTTGCTCCTCCATGAACAATAACATGCGTAAGTAAATACAGAACCGAAAATTAACGATTTTTAAATCATATTTTATTTCAACAAAAATAGCTTCATCGAAATTACCCATGATTCTTTTTAACTTATCCATTTATTAAGGTATTTTACGGGACTAATTACTTTCCTAAACAATTATATTCAATAAATGATCAACATGAATTATATGAATTATACAATCCTCAATGTCAATTTGAATTCATGAATAATTCAAAAGATATAACTGATCAACAAAATTCTACAATTTCTAACTTATTTCAATCAAATATTGATTTGAAACATGTAAACAAAGTGGAAAACACTTCGAATGTTGAAGATGAAAATAATGATAATAATGATGCACAAAGTCACAACAACAACAACAACAATGACACTGATGACAATAACAATGATCATATACAATTTACAAATGAATCACAAACTGATGTAAACTATAATAATAACAATAATTACATTGAGAAATCTATGGAAAATAATAATCACTTACAAAAGACTGTTGACAATTCAATTTATATAAAGAAAACAATGAATGATAATGAAAATATACAGAACATTTCACAAATTCACAATAAAATGACATATTCAAATCAGAAACTATTATGTATGAATAATTGTGCATTATGTAATCAACATATTCATTCTCAACTCTGTCATAATCATCCTCATCAACATGATAATAATAATTATTATTATCATAATCCATACTGTTATCATTATCATCATCATCATTCTTGTCAATTTAATAATGAATTATATTATATACCACAAATTGTCACCTATTTTCCTGCTAATGAATATCTATTTCCATTATCTACAAATAAGAATCAAGCATTTTATTCAATGCCACATAGTACCATTCCAGACCATAATAATGATACTACTTGTAATATTACTATTAATACTACTACTAATTCTACCATTACAAATAATGGTAATCATCCAACAATAAATATTCTATCCAATAAACTTCCACATTATCATGCAAAAATACTTCTACCACATGATAATAGTGTAGAAGCAACAAATAATGGCAATATACGATATTATGTCGGTGTACCATGCTCTTATCCATCGAATATAATCTGTTCGAAATATTCTTCAAATAATATTAATAATAATACTGTACAAACAAGAGATGATATATTAACTTATTGTGGTGAACCATTTATTTATTATACACCAGATCAAAATTATTATATTTATTCCACACCAACATCAACTATTACTTCATCTATACAAGAAAATATTCCTATATTGTAAATTATTTATTAAATTTCCATCAAATTTATGCCATTCATAACTTGATTGATTTATACACAAAAATCTATCTGTATGCATTTCTTTATAAATGTGAATAAATGATTGAGAAAGAGAAGGAGAGAGAGAGAGGAAGAGCGAAAGAGAGGATAAGAGAGGGAGGTAGGAAGTGAGGGAAATAAATGTCTAAAAATTTAAGATACAATCAGGCAGCAGTATTTTAAAATTTACATTTTCACAAAATTAATTAATTTATTTTTGGTTTTTCCATATAAAAAGAAGAAAATAAAAAAATGAGAAAAAAAGTATTTGACATTATTTTCAATTCAACTCATATACATATATAGATACTGAAAAAAAAGAAAAGAAAGAAAAAAAAAGAAAGAAGAAGAAGAAGAAGAAGAATTAGATACTCACTACGTTTTATTCATTATTCATGTTGTATAATTGAGATATTTATAAATTGAACTATAATTTTGTCCATTATTGTCCATAATTTTTGTCATTGTCCTCTATTTATTTATTTATTTGTTTATTTATTTGATTTTCTTTTTGTATACCTGAAATTATTTTATTGTGTGTTTGTTAACATTCTATTGTTTTTTTTTTGTTCTGTCTTTCCGAAAATTCTATGTCAACATGTGTTTATGTTGTGTTTTGTATTGTTGCTATGTCCTGTAATTTTAGATATAAAGAAATTGATAAAGAATTATTATGTTGTGTGTGTTCTCTAATTTGTCATTTATTTCTATGGTTTATTATTTTAGAAAAATAAAATTGATTTTTTCACCAATTGAGTAATAAACACTGTCGTTATGCGAAAAAAAATATCTTGGTGTTGAATGAATTCGATCGATTGAATTTACAATATAACTCATAAGCGTATAATTTAAAATCAGGTTGTATTTCTTTTCTCTTTTTGTAAGATCAAGTGATCGAAAACAATCATGGAAGATCGTTGATAAACAAGATTTTATACTGCTTATCATTTGAATGTTTCCGAATAGAAGTATTTCGATTTATTGTAATGGAACATATTCATTGGTATCCATTATTACTTACAATAGTAATCCTTATTTGTTCGATAAGCAAATGTAAATAACTTTTGAATAAAATATCAGTGAACTGATCGTTATAGTTGCTATTATTATTTGAAATGCATAGTATAAATGTCTGTCGTTCGTATTAACTTTACATTATCAAGTATCTATTCTGTTTATCTATCTTTCGTTATTTATGCAGAAGACCACCTCCATATTATCTGTTTGATGACTTAATAGTCCTGCCTCATTTATCTCTCTGCGTGACTCTATTCATTGTATACTCATAATTATTGTAGAATGATATATTGAGTGTACATAGGTCATCTGAGAACAAAATTTAGAGAAAATAAAATTACCGCCTTTAGATTCTGATCTGATTTCTTAGACTAGACACATAATTTATTTAAGAGTTCCTCTTATGTATGAATAGTGAGGATTCGATAACGTTGATAATGTAATATGATAGGATCAAACATTACATTCCAAGAGGATACTGCCAACCATGCTCGAAAATGAACAAGAGGATCTAAAAATTAATGAAAGTATGTAAATTATTTTCAGACAATATTGATTCGCACAAACAAAATCTAGAAATTTACAATCATTAAAAGTGTAAAAATACCTTCGGTGATGCAAGTCACAAAAACACTAAAAATCATTGTTTTATCCTTCAAAAACTTGAAAAGGTATAACATCGATTAATAACGAAATAAGCAATTTACGAAAACAGTCAGAATAGTCCTCCACGGTAGCATAGGAATCTGCAGGAAATTTAATCCTTTTCTCATTATGAGCGTATTTTATAGCTTCCAAACTTTCATCACTAAAATATTTGAACTCATTTTTCTTCTACTTTCTGACGTATAGTGTTTAGGATAGGGTATGGCTCAGGTTCCTTCTACAGCGTAATTTATGACACTGAAAACTTTGGAAAAGTAAAAGATACGTAGATCTACATCAATCCAAGCTAAGAAAGAGATATTTCGACAAATTAATCAATCATCCTACTCATGTGGGCTTGAGAAATAATAATATCCGTTGCATCACCAATGTCACCGGTTCATTAGAACAGTTAATCTTGCGTACCTATATCGTTCAACGCTCAGATTTTTACCGTAGTTGAATAGAAAGACAATATTGGAGTGATACAATAGGGATTATACATTTGATTAAATACGGCCTTATTTTTCCTGAACCATGTAATATTTAATCTGTTGATAGAATTTTCTATTGTTTAAAAAATGCCTAAGGAACAACCGCTTTCGAAAAAATTTATTAAGAAACATGGAAAAAGTAAAGACGAAAGGTCTAAAGTGCTGTGAACGGGGAAATAAGAAGCCCAGACAACTACGAAAGCTATTTTCTTGGGACGTTATTTCATTTCATTCAAACCTTGTAAAACACTTATATTTATTTTTGTCCCTATTTTATTCTACATAACATGAGCTTTCGTTCTATGTAACATTCACTGCCGTACACTTTTTTGTTCCGAAAATATCGTAATTTAGACATAATATTTTGCATCTTATTTTTTACCCTATTTCCCAGTTTCGGGCATAATTGTATTTTTCCAAATTATCGTACGTTGTGGTCAGGATATTCACTTATTTATTCATGTACATTTTCGCACTAATCCGAATTCAGAGAATTCAGGACTCAGAGTGTTCCAACTGTCTTGTCTTCTCTCACTTGAGTGCTTGCCAACCAATCAGGTTCTAGAGTATTTAGTGGCCCGTGAATCTGATTCCATTTAGATTGTATGAATGTTTGTTATCACCTATTCTCGTTTATCATCGTCGACTTAGATCGCGTTAGTCCATAACGGAATTAAATAAGTCAATTAACGAGAACGGCATTTGAATACATATATTTTGCATATGAAGTGAATGAAACAGAGCCAAGCAAAATGACGCACAGGGAAGATGGCTGGGAAGCCAACTCCATTTTAATTAAGCGTTACTCAGTATTTATAGGCAGACAAAATAAACTACAGACATGTGATGAATCATGGGATATGAAGTGTACACACATATACGCTCATGTGAAAACAGTCAAGGCTAATAAGCGAATAATTGACAAGGTCAAAATATGGCTCAAGTAAAATGAATAAAATAGGATGTCCGGAAGTTAGAATAAAGGTATATGGGCTTGCCATAATAACTGACACTACAAGTAGTTCTCTCTCTACCCCATCTCGAACTCACGTGTACTAGGCTCAAGGTTAAGCCGCTCAGCCTATCACGCCAAGGTCATAATCTAGACTAGACAGATCAAGGTAAAGTCATAACAAAGTATCGACGGGGTAAAAGCGATTCAAGGTCATAACATAAAGAAACCACAGAAGATAAAAAATTCCATTTCCATTCAACCTAGATTCGAAGTTTACGATGTTGAAGCGATGGAAAACAAAAGATTTGAAACCACACTAACCAGAACGCATCGTGTAGCCAGGGTGATTATCGTGGATAAAAGAATAAGATTTTTTGCTCCAATAAAAAAACTGAGAAATATTCCTTTTCATGTTACCACCAATTGCACTTACATTTGTCTACCAAACCAGTTAATTTGCTAGAACTGAAAGAACAGCTTATGTTTGATACCTGGAACATATCCAAACAGGCATCAGGTCAATAGGATTAAATGCTTTAAACTGTGCTATTGAAAAAGGATCTCCGCAAAGTAGAGTATTAAGTTTATACACTTAAACTCTTTTGATACCATCAATCGATAGTCAAGTTCACCGAAGCTATAATCATCAACCGCCTTTGGCCTGACTTTTGTATCCAAAAAGAAACAGTTACAAATCTTTCTTCACCAAATTGTATTTATTGTCAGTTTGTTAAATCACTTTTGAAATTTTTTCTCTGTTATTCTGTTGTGTCACTGGATGTAAATCCATAATTTTACTTTCAACTTATTGCTTGTGCCATTTGTACTAAATGATGATTCATTTTTACTTGATTATACGCTTATCACGAATTCTAAATATAATACGTCCAGTTGTGCTCATCTAGTTCTACCCATGGTAATAACTTCATTTTTTCTCAAAACAGTGGAAAGATTATTGCTACTTTTACTTCACCCAGCACTAAAAGACAAATTGATCTATATCAGTTTGATTACAGACGCCCCACCATTGATACTACCTTGACGTGATGTTTGTGCTTGACTATCGTGATGGACCAATCGAGCTATACTGGTTGGAACACTCGTCCTTCAAGTCCCGCCATGCCAGGCAGGTTGACGGAAGAACGATCAGACTAAAAGCAGACCCAGGGTCCAAAGGTGAAGTCGTACTGCTGGTTGCGCAGAGGTGTTATCACAGTAGGGTGTTTCCTCCAGCCAACCAGCATAACAGCGGTGTTGCCTTCCCACAAAGAGGGGGGATACGAAAAGTCTATCATAAAACCGCACACCTCGCCTTATCCCACGGATATCCGTCTCCGTCGGTTAGGCCCAAACTTACTCACTTACTTACTTACGCCTGTTGTCCCTCATGGGAGAGCATTGGCCACCCACGAGCATAACACGTACTAAGTTAATACGAAAATTACCCACAAAAGGTCGTGTGCGACCGACCCCAAGCAGTTGTCCCTTGGGTACCTCGATCACGCTCTCAGATCACTAAAACCATCTCTAATCCGATTTCCTTTTCTAGTACCTCCAGAAGAACCGTTTCACGATATGGGGAACCGGGAAGTGATAACTACCCTCATATCTCTAGCAGCAATCAAGACCACTGTATTCATAATCAATCTCCCTCTTCAATTCCTATTATTCCTCCCACCTCGACTTTCAATTCTTATCTTCCTCTTTTAACTTCCTTCTTAAGTGCCCCCATGACCAACGATTCTAATGCACGAAAAGACTTCCCATGTCTACTGACATCTCGCTCCAAACTACACATTGGAGCCTTCAACGTACGCACCCTATATCAGATCAACTAATGGGCCTCCTTGGTTAAAATCCTAGAATCTCATACCACTGATGTATGCTGTGTCTCCAAAACACATACAGGATCCTAGTGTGGTCGTTCACTTTACCTCATCTTGCCAAAACGGTGAGCCGACGAGATACACCCTTCGTGTATCTGGAGCCTCGATGGCTAGTTCTCGTGGACTGTGAGGTGTAGGCATAGCACTATGTACGAGGGCAGAACAAGTACTATTAAAATGGGTCCCCGTTAACAGTCGTCTATGTGCTGTTTGCTAAACGGCTCTGTAAGAACTCGGAAGGATAGGGACACACGTCATTGCCTTTTCATCTTTTCTGCCTACGCTCCCATTGACTGCGAACCGGATGATGTGAAAGATGACTTTTACAGAAAGCTCTATGAATTTCTTCAGAAAGCTAAACGTTCAGACACAGTACTCGTAGGAGGTGACTTTGATGCTCAGGTAAGTAGCTTAAACCAAACCGAAAGACATTCAGTTGGGTCTCTTAATATTCCGGCTCAGCAAACAGATAATAGTGATCGTCTGTTGCAATTGTTCTCAGACAATCTTTTATTTTTAACAAGCATTAACTTTAAGCATAAGGGGAGACATCGTCTAACATGGAGACTACCTGCACCAAAGCAACGATGGACTCAAATAGACCATATTGCCATCAGTCATCGTTGGGGAGGCCCAATAGAACACTGTCGCTCTTTCTAGAATACCTGTTTGGACTCCGGTCATGCTGTTATACGAGCACGCGTTTGCTTGCACCTCTCTGGACGCAGGGAAACCACATTATGAAGACCCATTAGAATCTAACTCAGTGACGAGGAAGCTAACAGTAGGTTCTAGGAACAATTGAGGCCATACTTAGGTAGTTCTGAAAACGAGGCTTACCCAGATGTTGCTTGGAAAGATATACAAGCAGCTGTGGAAACAGTAGTGTCATCTAATAGTGATTTAAATCAAAGGGTTACAAAAACCAGTGGATTTCTTCTAGGTCCATTGCACTGATGGATTCTCGTAAACTCATCCCATCAGGCTGTAAACATGATGAATGACGAAAACAAATCATATCTCGGCTAACCAAAAGTCTAGGGAACGACCTTGAGCAGTGGTGTGCATCGAAAGCAATAGAGATGTAAATGGCAGCGGCCATAGGTAACACAAGACAGCTCTCTAGACTCATAAAAGAAACTGGGACTAAACATTCATGTGTAAGTGCGAATGTAATGACCGAACTGCCAGTATTCGGGTTGAACGCAGGACTGACGAACCAAAATTTATTCGAATAGGCCAGACTACGTTCTTCTGTATAACGTGCGGAGCGTTTTTGAGTTACTCGTATTACATTATATCAAAACACATACTCTGTGCTAAATTTAAACGGTTCTAATTTAGGAAATAGAACAAATTATATCAAAAATACAAAATACCTCAAACCGTACAACCTGTGCTATACAGTCTAAAGTTTCTCTAACGCAAAGTTTAAAATACAGGACAGGGAGAAGAAATAAATAAATGACAGTACTGTCCAACAAAAAAGGTGTGGAGGGATTTTCATCGTTCTCTTTCCGTTACAGAGAGAATCTCGGAAAAAGACTACACTCATATCTGCTCACAGTCCGGGTGTTCAGAACGATGGGAGGAACACTTTAGAGAACAGTTTAGCTGGCCTTCAGTTACTCTTTAACTACTCGCCATTCTCAGATAGTGTGAATGGAATATTGAAGTAGGTCTCTTGACTCTAGTTGAAGTTCAAAAGGCTATAACTAATTTGAAACGAGGAAGAGCAGCTGATTCAGATGGGGTGGGTCCATATGTCTTTGAGGATGGTGATCTAGTATTAGCGATTAGGTTGACTAATATTTTAGTTAAAATCTGGGAGTTGGTTGTAATCCCACCTAACTGGTCGCAATCATTGACTGTCCAAATATATAAGAAGGGGTCAAAATTATCCTGTGACAATCATAGAGGGACTAGTTTGATTAATATAGTATCTGAAATACTAGCCTCAATAATTATCGGGAACCTAACAAAGACTCGTGAACTGCAAACAGGGGAAAATCAGGCTGGTTTCACACGTGATCGTGGCTTCGCACAGATAATCTTACATGTACTAGAAAAGTGGTTGGTCAGAGGTTGTTGAGAAAACAAATCAGGGATCAAAGCATGCGCTGTTATATCACTGAATTCCACTGGAGATATTGACTAGAAAGTAACCCATAATTGTGAGACAATTAAACTATACCTTGAAATAATAGATTCTCGTCGCTGGCCCTGAGAACAAGATGACTGACCGACAGGTGCATGGGAAAGCTGCGTGTAACCTGGGGCAGCATAGTTCTCACTGGCTAATAGATTCATTTCATCAACAGATCGAACAGTTGACAGTAACTCACTGACCAGTTCAAATAACGGAAATGTCATCAAAGGCCGACTACAAAATTTAGGAAGATAGAGTAGTCAACGAAAATCATACTCTTATTTATATGGTTTCGAAACTAGATTCATGTTATGCTATGTATTTGACCTGAATCAGTTTTGTACAATTACCGACCCGGTTTATAACGTTGTGTAAATTCAAGAACTAAATAAGACACCATGTTTAACCCGGATTCTCTTAGATTTGTGACGTGTCGAACGGTTCTACTTTAAATCGTCGTTGGTACGCAATCGTGAGTCGATACGGAAGTCCGGCAAGCGAACATTTATTCTAGTCCGTCCAAACCTAATTCCATTTGTTTAAATACCTCAAGTCTATGACTAAGACTTGGATCCAATTTGTATGCTGTCGCTATGTCAGATGTTTTCTTGTACATTTATGATCTTTCAAGTGGCCTAGCTAGTGTTTTTAGTCCTGGTCTCTTGGGTATGCTAGATGGTTTCTTAATACTACTCCGAATTAAGGCAAGAAAATTGATGGAATATGGCATACTGCTTCTGTTTTGTATGATAAGGAATTTTTCTTTGGACAATCAGGAATTCAGTATTGTGAGCCAGTGAGTTTTAACCTAGAACGTGTTTATGTTCATTCAGTGAATTTAACAAGTCCTTTAAAGAAATAGCATTACATACTGTAATTCATCTACAAATTACAATATTGATATCTACGAAAATAATCAAGAATAATGTGCGTAACTTCGGGCGTGTTGATTAAAATCGTCTATTCACTAGTTACGGACTTTGATAGTCCAATTCTAGCTTTACGAAAACTTCAGAAAAGGCCGGTCGGTTGTATGCGTTCACTATTCATATCTGGGATCTGTCTAACAATTGACATCCTTATCCAATACATGTAAGGGAGTAGAGTAATCAAGAGATGGGTTTTAATCGACGTTTATTCACCAGAAAATACATCCAGTCTCATTATTTCGCGAGGTAGTTTTATCCTACCACAATAACTACCTGTAAACAGTTAATTTGTTATCCAATCATAACTAAAAGTACTCTAAATGGGTCATTTGTATTTGTTTAATTTATTTCCTGTTTCTCAATATAATTGATGTGTAATAATTTTCCGTCCTCCAGTGTTCTGGTTTTCTGTTTCTGTTGGTTATATGCATCCTTGCTCTTGTAGTACAATAAATCAATCCACAAAGTTTCGTGTCTAATTTTCATTATTGATACTTCGCTCTTCCAACATCCTTTTTGGTTTTAAGTTAGTTTTCCACTACTCACGTGAAGTTAGTCTTGTGTACTGCAAATCTACTGACCATCCATGTGCATACTGTATAAAAGGAATGATTTTTTAAAGATTCGACTTCAGAAACATGTAGTGGTCAGTATATCATTAAACTGCGGCCTCTGCATCTAATTGAACCGTACAAAAACTAATAACAGGGCGTTTTTTTCTTCTCAGATGTAATTTCTAATCGCTTTCGGCGAATCAAAAAAGTGCCATCTCCGGACCCGCTACTATGTAATGTTATATCCAATAAAATTGTACTTGTCTCTTTGACGTATCTAATCAAAATGTTATTCACTACATGTTGGCTTTTTCCGATGTTTCGTATGAAGTGATTTTTATTCAATTTTGCATTTCCAGTCTTGAGGTTTTAGGGATCTTGTATGTAAGACAGTTATTTTAACGTTAGTTGTTTGTCCGGGGAAGTTGCTGAGGTGCTGAAAAATATATAAAACCTTTTAGAATGTTTTTTCTATTTAATAAGACCTAGGAGTCAGTGGTTCATGTGTTTGACTTCTAGTCACTAAGTGTCGGGTTGGAGCCCTGCCTCACCTTTATCTTCAAAATCTCGTTTTCTATTTTTTTGTATTCTCTTCACTCAAGTTCATGTTCATCCTGATCTTCGTTTCCACCAACTCTGTTTTTGTATCGTTCCAAAGGATGGAAGGTTGGAATGATACATTTTGAAATTCTACATTGATATATTTCTCTTACAGGTATATTTGTGCATTATGAGATATTGTTTACCGTTCACTTGTATAAAAATAAGTAATTTGTTTCAGGTAACATTCAATAATAAATTTGACCAACGGTAAAACCCATGAACATCTCATCCGTCGGTATACAACCTTATAACTGTCAAACTTTCACATTACGCTGACCACATCCTAGCGAAACAACAATCATTTTTGGGAGAGATGTGTGGTGACTCCCAAACATTTTATTCCGTCAACTCACTTGTGTACCACTTGCTTTTATTGCCGTGATCAGGTGAAACTGATTCTGTTGCCTATAGCACCAACGTCTCAATCAACTGTATTTGTGTATCCATGCCTGTTGTCAAAGCAATAAATTTAGCTAGTTTGTGTTTTTTCACTCTGTTAATGCACTTCCATCAGTGGGCGTGAATTAAATTAGTTGTAAACAAAAATAATTTTAATTAAAAAGGGAATCTCCCGAGCTGGTTGGAAAGAACTAAATCACCAATAATTTTATAAAATTTGAGTGGTAAAGTTTGAGGGTTTAGAAAAACCATTCATCAACACTGATTAGTTGGGATGGGACCGATCATCATGTTCAGATCATTTTTGGTTTTAACTTACAGAAGTAATTCATTATAAGTTGAACCTACTAACGTATATTTCTACTCGCGTAATTCACTTTGAATATGTTTTCTCGATAACGACACCATCGCCTTTTTCTGTCACCTCACTTTTCTCAATTTTTCTCCAAGTGCTCAACCTCTTTAGGAAATCCATTAAAAAAGCAATTCATGGGGAAGACACCATTGTCAGAATCTGAAATTTTCAACTATTTAGAGCGACTATCCAATACATTGTTCAAGTAAGTCACGTGGTCAATTATGAAAACACTTGTAATTTGATTATTTGGTTCCCATGTATGTTATTCATCAGTATCTTGCATAACTTTGCCTGTAGCTCTTCTAGGGCTACTGCCGGTCTCAATCCCACATAAAGGAGGAGGGTTGGATATGGGGTCGGCAACCCCATTTCGTAGAAAACAACCTTGCGAAAAAACACTAACCAGAATAAACCATTTAAACTCTGTCTTGGGAGTTGAAGGGAGAATTATGACACCTCATAATAAAATCTGAGATTCGTCGGAAGTCACGAGGCTGATGCCCCCTCTAACAACCAGAGCAACAAGTTTTATAGGTGCATAAAACGTCTGAACAATGTGGGAGACCAGAAGGACCAGTCAAATGGCTGAAGAAATGAGAAGATACAACTTGGCGGTTCTTGCTATTAAGAAAACCAATTGGAACCAAGCTGGATAGAGAAAAACTAGATTCAGGAGAGGTGGTGTTGTATTGTGGTCATTAAGAAAAAAACACTTCGATCACAAGGAGTCCCGCTAGTGCTGTCTTAAGAAGCACATAATGCACTTATAGGATGGGAATCTCATCGATCCAGAATCGCCGAAGCATCCTTCAAAACAAAGAAGGGGGGAATTACAGTGAATATTATCCAATGTTATTCACCCACCAATGGTAGCAGTAACGAGGACGAAGGTCAGCTATACGAGAATCTGCAATGGATCATAGCGAAATGTCTAAGAAACAACTTGACAGCCCTGATGGGATAGCTAAACTCCAAAGTCGGAATGAACAACAACGTTTATGAAGATATCATGGAATGACATGAACTAGGAGAGAGAAACGAGAATGGGTAGAGATTTGCAAATCTATGTGCATTCAACAAACTGGTTATAGGCGGTACAATATTCCCACACAAATACATACATAAAGCTACATGGATCTCACTGGACCACACCACGAAGAACTAGATAGATCGAATTTGCATAGGTAAAAAAATCAGAAGGTAAGTGGTAAACGTGAGAATCAGGAAAGGAGCTGACATAGTTTCCGATCACCAACAACTGGTTGTGGCCAAGATAAAACTGGAACTAGAGAAGTATTGGGCAACTGAACAAACAGGATTACAAAGGTTCAATACAGCCTTCATTCGGCATACTGGTAAACTCAACGAATTCAAGGTAACTCTCGACAACAGGTTCCAAGCCTTACAGGATCCACTCAGCGAAGAGGAATCTACTATGGAGGACAACTGGAAAGGTACGAAAGAAGCACTAACTTCATAATGTCAGGAGGTTCTGGGTTGCAATAAGCATCATAATAATCACTGGATATCTGTCGGAACCCTGGACAAGATTGAAGAAAAGAAGAACAAGAAGACAGCAATTAACAACAGCCGAACAAGAGCAGAGGAAGTCGAGACACGAGCTGAATACACAGAAGCAAACAAGCAAATGAAGAAGAGCATTAAAGCCGACAAGCAGGAATATGTGGAAGAGCTAGCAACGACAGCTGAACAATCTGCAAGAGAAGGAAATATGAAGCAACTATATGACACGATGAAGTAATTGACAGGTAAATACAGTAGATCAGAGATACCGATCAAGGACAAAGAAGGTAAGCTAATCAGTGAAATTCGAGGACAGAGGAACATATGGGTCGAGCAGTGTGAGGAACTCTTGAATTGACCAGCTCTATTGAATCCATGAGGTGTCGAAACAGCACACCCAGACGTTGCTATAGATCTCACTCCACCAACGACGGAAGAAGTCAGGATGGCCATCAGACAAATGAAGAGTCGGAAAGCAGCAGGACTTGACAATATACCAGCCGATGCACTAAAGTGAGACTTAGAAGTAATGGCAAAAATACTCCAGTTCCTATTCAGGTAGATTTGGTAGGAAGAACAAGTGTTGATGGAGTGGAAGTAAGGATATCTGATCAAGATACCAAAGAAAGGAGATCTGAGCAAATGTAAGAACGACAGAGGCATTACACCGCCGTCAGCACCAGGAAAGTTTTTCAACAGTGTTGCTGAACTGCATGAAAGACTCAGTAAAGGCTCAACTTCGAGATCAACAAGCTGGATTCCGTAAGTATCAGTCGTGCACAAACCAAATCGTGACACTACGGGTCATCTTTGAACAATCATTTGAATGAACCTCGTCACTATACATTAAGTTGATTGACTATGAGAAAGCATTTGACAGTGTGGATAGGAAACATGGGAATTTCTTCGACACCATAAAGTACTTGAGAAAATCGTCAACATCATACGGAATTCATACAACGTACTATACTGCAGAGTGGTGCACGGAGGACAGTTGACAGACGCATTCCAAGTAAGGACCGAAGTCACACAAGGCTGACTACCTGTCCTTTCTCTTTCTTCTAGTGGTTGACTGGAATATGACAACCTCGACATCTGGGAGGAAGCACAGAATAAAATGGACATGTTGGATGCAACTAGACGATTTGGACTTCGCAGATGACCTGGCTCTTCTATCCCATACATATCAACAAATGCAGGTCAAGATATGCAATTTAGTAGTAGTCTCTTCACCAGCAGGCCTAAACATACACAAGGGAAAAAGCAACACTTTCAAATTCAACACAGAGTACACCAACCCAATCACATTTGATAGAGAAACTATGGAAGATGTGGAATATTTCACGCATCTGGGTAGAATCATCGACGATCGAAGAGGATTTGATGCAGACGTAAAGGTGAAGATTGGCTAAGCGAAGAACGCATTCCTACAACTGAAGAACATAAGGAACTCAAAACAATAACCAATATCAAAGTCACAATCTTTAATACGAACGTCAAGACAGTGAGTTATAGTGTACGTAGCTGAAACTTGGAGAACTACTACAACCGTCCTCAAGAAGGTATAAGTACTTATAAATAACTGTCTGCGTAAGATACTGAATATCCGTTTACCGGATAGCATCAGCAAGAGCCTACTATGGGAAAAAGCAAACCAGCTTAAGAGGAAATTGGGAAAAGATGTTGGAAGTGGATAAGACACACATTCAGGAAATCATCAAACTAGATAAGGAGGCAGGCGCTAATCCTGAAGGGAAACGAAATAGAGGAAGACCAAAGAACACATTGACTCGGGGATTGGAGGCAGATTTCATAGGAGTGAATAGCAACTAGGAAGGATTTTTCAGGACAGAGTTGGATGGAGAATGCTGATGAGCGGCCCATGCTTCTCCACGAGGGTTAACAGGTGTAAGTAATCCTGCATAGTTTTAGGGTAAACAAAGTAGGGTAGCTCCAATTGAATATCAACTAATTTTGAAAACAATAATAAAAAATAAGGTGACTCCTATTCACTTATCACGAAAAACACAAACTATTCATTCGAAATAATCGTTAAGAAATCTGATTTGCAGCCACTGTATCTGCTTCTGTTTGAGCAATCGGGTATTACTAGCCGTCATATTTACAGTATACGAATTTGTGCCTCGTAAACATGCATCCATTTTGATTTCGTAGAATACTTTGTTGTGGACATTTTTTAGGATTGACAGTGATGATGATGTGTTAGCTGTAGGGGCAGATTGGACTATTACGAAACTTTACTATTCTTTAGTCAATCAGTTTGTATATCTGTAATGAACATTATTATTATTATTGTAAGCTGTCATTTGGCTCATTAATTATTGTTATGTTATTCACTGGTCAGAATTGTCGTCAACTTGATAATAAAACAAACTGTTTTAGGTACGTATATATTGGTACCTATATTCACCCATATTTAATGTCAAGCCTGACACAAATATGCGCTAGTCCAAGTTGCCAAATCACATTAACGTGATGAAATGAATAGTAAAATAGTCCGAATCGTACAGTAGCACTGTTAATGCGAAAGACTAAGCTCTTTGAATATGGTTTGAAATGACGGAGTTCAAAGACATGTATGGAGGATTACCGAAACTCCAAATGTAGGGTAAGATAAAGAGTGGATAAACCTACATCATTTTGATCAATTGCTATCAGGAGTGATGGCTTGGTGTTTAGATCATTTATAAAAGTATAAAATCCTCTTCGTTTACTTTGGTTAGGATAACTGAGAGGGTGGGGGAAACATCACTGATCCTCCCCATACAGTAAATTACGGTCAAAAACAGTATATATAAACTTTTATTTGGTAAGTACTTTAGCTATTTTGTACTCGATGAATCAACCCATCAGATAACACCATTTTATCAAGGATTTCGGTTAGTCCCGACCACATCAGTTGATGTCATCTTTGTCAAGTTTCCTATTGCTAACCACAGTGCTGCCTACGCGGTCGTTACACTGTGCGCCAGAAATGCTTCGAAGAGACCTATGATCAAGAACTATCATCTTATGTATGTCTTCTAGATTCACACATATTTTGCGGCTACGGAGTAGGTGTCATTACCGAGATTCGACTTGGTAATTTAAAATAAATTGAGCAATACGTAGATAGTTTGTAGTGTCAGTCATTACTTTAAGCCCATAATATACCTTATTCTAGTTTTTGGACAAACCAATCTATTCATTCTACTTGAGTCATATTTTGACCTTGTCAACTATTCGCTTATCAGTCTTGACTATTTTCATATGAGCGTATATGTGTGTGTACACTTCATATTCCATGTCTCATCACATGTCTGTAGTTTATTTTGTCTGCCTATAAATATTTGAGTAACGCCTTGGTAGAAATTAGTTGGCTTACCAGCCATCTCCAGTGTGTGTCATTTTGCTTTGTTCTATCACGTTCGCTTTACATACGGAATATATGTATTCAAAGGCCATTCTCGTTAATTGACTTATCTAAATTCCGTAATATTGAATAACGTGATTTAAGTCGATGATTATATACGAGGATAGGTGATAACAAACATTCATACGATCTAAATGGAGTCAGATCAATGGGCCACTAAAAGTTATTAGTAAAAAATAATATATTTGTAACATCCCGATGAGTAAAGAAATTAAATTTATAAAATTTCGGACGTTTCGTGACTCAGTGTAGGCCGCTTCTTCAGAGAATAAATGAACAAATTAAACTAGCATAATATTAAATTGTACACAAGAACAAAGCAACAATATTTAGTGCGACTAATCAAAAATAGGTCTTGCGAAGTCAATGTTATGTCATTCCTGCCGAGGTGATTTATGTGAGACATGTTTGTGCAGTTGTGTGTATATATGTTCAAGGATGAGAAAAATGTGACATTTGTGGTGCGAATGGGTAGTTTTGAATTTATATGTACGACAATGGTGTGAGATGTGAATAGAATCAGACATAGTGGCCCGGATAGATGGTCCAAGTCAGATGGTTGGTGAGGCTTTCTTTTCAATTGAAGGCTGTAGGATTAAGCAATATGTGGAAAGCTTCAGCTACTCAACTTTCTTTGTAGTTGGAAAAGTTTTTTTGTATTATGTTGATGCTCTTAATATCGACTTGATGGTTATTGACAATGTCATGGACTGCTATTGTCGATGTAATTTGAAATTTTTCCAGTTCTATGGGATTGTTAGGCGATTTTTCTGTGTACCTAAGATGTTCTTTAGCTCGAGTCAAAATTTCACGAGATGACTTTCCAATATAGAAGGCATTGCAAACGACACATCCTAATATGTAGACAAAATTCTGTGTTGATATAAAGGGAATTATTTCCTTTATGCGGACTAAAACATTTAGAAGGGTGTTCGTTGTTTTATAATATATTTTAATTTGGTTTTATTTTAAGGCTCTTTGAAATTTTGTTGTACCATGGCGGTGCGGTAAAACTACAGTACCAATCCATTGTATTTCATTCGGATTATTATTTAGCAGTAAAAGGTCTCGTTTTATTGCACTTTTAATAATCGTCATAGCAACATTACTAAATCGTAAGATGCCAATTGTATGCTTTCGTACTTTTTGTCTATCCTCTTCAAATATAATAGTCTTGTTTGCTTTTCTAAAGAGATTTAGGGCTAGAGAGATTTTCGCACCGAATGGATGTGCTAAATTGAAGTCGATATAACGATTTAAGCGCGCTGGATTTCGGTAGATAGTTAGATTTAAAGCTCCACTTTGATTCCTTTTAACTAAGCAATTTAAAAATGGTAGCTCACCGTGTTCATTTTGATTCTCGTTTGTACAGAGAGAAAGAATTAGTTCGCAAAAAGAAAATCAAGAAGTAATTTTAATCTCACGGTTTTAAGGGAAAACAAAGAGTGTACACACCTATGCCATTGTGACCGATTCTGAGCCATGTCACCCAGTCTCCAACCACTGGTTACGGTAGTCGCGTGGACCCCAACCAAGTAATCTGCAACTATCAACATGGCTCAGTCCAGAAGTTTATGGATTGATGCTACGTTTTGATTTGGCCGCCCCTAACATTCTTCCTACCGTCTCCAACACTAGTCAGCATCACAAGCCGTGGTAATCGGTGGTCGGGCATGTGTAATACGTGGCCCAACCATCTTAGTTGATAAAGATTTACAATCTCACCAACTGATTTACCACCATTATCCAATACCCTGCGTCTAACTCTATTATTACTTATCCAGTGATCTCAGCAAATACTGACAACATTTCCAAGACATCTGTGATCGAATACTAGTAACTCACGATTATCATCTACCCTTACTGGTCATGTTTCGCAGCTGTGAAGTAATAGAGTAGTACGGAGTGGGCTGAAATCTGGGAAAGTTGAAATCACCATGATCTATCAGTCGTGTGAAACAAATACAGTAACGGAGTGAACAAACTTGTTTTATTCACACGACAAACAAAAACATTGGACTAATCGGGTTATTCGTAATATTATCACATTAGATTGTAGTGATTGTTGAATTTGAAGCTTCTCATCACTAACCAACTTCGGTTAGACCTTTTACAAAAACCAGGAGGCGTTGGACAGCTGATTCGTCACATTGTCGGTGCTAAGGCGACCACAGGTTGTCTACCTTCTGCCATTAAATGTTAGTTCATTCTCTAAAGGATAGCCTCGATAATATTTTGGCATTCATATTTCCGCATTAACCTCTTCTGTTAAATAATTGTTTTTTCGTCTAGTTTGCTAATTTTCCTATATCCCAAAGTCGTATTTTGTTGTTATACATACAGAGTTGTCCCACTTCGAATTTTACCTTCGGAATATCAAGCTTATCCTGTTCTTCTGTCTTCTCTCTGCACCCCCTCGCTATGGCGATTATTGTTGGTGTTATTTATCAATAGCCGCAATTAGTTACTGTAGGACTAATCGTAAATTATAACAGAGGGACTCCTCTACAATATTCGTCCATGAATCAACCAGAGGTTGAATCCAGGACCTTCAAACATTAAATGGGGTGGGGTGGGAGGCGTTTATACTTTTGAGTACTGAATTGATATCCAATGGTTTACATTTCTGACTTCAGTTCATGTTATTAAAATGTGTGTTGTATCAATGAATTGATCTTGAATTTTCAAAGAGATATGATTATTATTGCTTCATCTGTTTTTTTAGACCAGGCGATTATTCGCTTTTTGAACATAATTGTAACACTTTCAGTGAACACTTTATATTTCACTTGACTGGACAGCATATCCCATCGTATATATTGAACTTACCTAATGAAGTTTTGTCTACACCATTTGGAGCTTCATTAGGTTCAGCTTTGAATGTCCTGTCGGTTGGAATCAATTCCAAAACACATTTGAATAGTATTAAAGAAATTCCATGTATGTGTTGTGTTTCATTATTATGATAACTGAAATTTAAAAAAATATTATTTATAGCTAATAACGATAAACATACATACGCTGATATTATTAAATCTTTTCGACCAATATTTTTTGATGTAAGTGTTTTATGGTTAATTTGTTTGAGCTTTTTTGAGTATTTTATTCATTTAATTGTCTACACTGAAATATCTCATGTAGTTGATTACTATCAATATACTGGCTCGATTGTCATGTACGCATTTGTACAGTTGGCTTCAAATCGTATTCTAAGTGCGAAAGATGAAGTTATTTTCTAGTTAACTAAATCGAAGTAGGTAGGTTGAATAGGATTTGAACCTGAAACTTAATAATTTAAAGTTGAATAGTGTAATCATTGAGCCACCGCTTCACTTGTAGTAAACTAGCGCAGTTCATGAATGAGACTGTTATAAGGTTGATTTTCAAAGTTGATTATAAATCTCACTTATCAACTTGAAACTTTATACACAGCCTTGATGTGTATTGTTTGTATATGCGTGTGGGCGGTTGTGATACTGCTTTATTGCTGAAGAGGAAGTAGGCAGTGGTGAGAGTTTGAACCTGGGATTTGTGAGTTGAAAGTCGGGTGCGAAGTTGTACTGCCAGCTGTATTGGAGCGTGATGTCAGTATGGTATTCCTCTCAGGAAACCAGGATTCCCATCGTTATTACTCTCTCATGACGGAAGGAGAGAGTTAGGCAAAGTCGACTAGAAATTGCACACCCCATTTCGCCCTACAGCTTTCTGTCGCTGGAGGTACGGGCATTCAAATACTTTACCTTTAGGTAGGCCACCATCTTCAATAGAATTAATCATAGTTAAAAATCAATGAACCAACGGTTTACTTAGGCTTAGTTGGTAATCAATATATCATACAGTTTATTATTGTATGGAAAGTGAATGCAAGTTTGTTTTACTATTTTCACTGACGTTGGAACGAATGTGAATAATGAGCTTTAGCTCACGAGACCAAAGGTCATGCGCTTCATTCTCTGTGGCAAGGTCATGGAAGCTCACCTCTGAGTACCATGCTAGGATGAAACAACTGTCCAGTGCTTCCTAGTTTTCATTGGTGGTCTAACTAAGAAATTAGAAATCTTTAGTCCGTAGACTTCATGCAAAGACCATGTTCACATTTTCTATACTGCTAAATACTGTTGGTAGATATTTTTAATTTCAATCAAATTTAATCAGACTTGATAAACAACAAACGAGCGGAACAACAGCATCACATAGGAAGTTTCAACACAAGTAGTTTATTGCGTAAAAAGATTCCAAGTATCTTGGTTTTCCGCAAAGCATCAGGCCCATAGCTCAGTGCATGGAAGATTTACATGGTTACCAAGGTTTTTTGTGTCCAATTTATCTGCAAATCCTCTGGTTTTTATAGATCTAACTATAGACAAGGTTTTGATTTCTGAAATGTTTTTAGATGCTATATACTCTCATTGTTGAATTAATTGGTTAGAAGTAACGGGTTCACATGTAGTCCTCATGTGAGATGTAATTATTCAACAATTTATATATAGTAAATATTTACTCATTATCACATGAGAGTGTCTCGAAGTTGAAAATCAGATGCAGTAATAATTAATTAAATGAACAAAGTCATCCATGAGTTATTGATTTTTCAATGCGACTAAAAACCAATTGGAGAAATATCTAGTGTTAAGTGGGTTACTTATCAGCATTATATATAAACTGTTTCATGACATTTAGTTACCCTTTGATACAGTAGTTTATATCTCGGTACTAAGTTTTCAAAAACCTTGAATATCTATACCTAATACTGCCTTCAGTGATATATCACAATACATATTCAATAACAAATGAATAACTTTGAACTAACGAATGCAGTTGATCTTGAGTTCTGATTAACGTAATCAAGTCCCTTAATTCGACCATAAGAGAAATTAATTAAAAACTGTAATATTTATTCATTTACTTACATGTTAGTTTCAACAGTAATTAAGTAGACAGTTAATTTTGACTAGCGATAATAATGATAATATTGAAAAAGTCGTCCCTGTTTATCATATCTGTGTGTATGTATGTATATTTCCTTTTCAGGAACCTTTATCCTCAGAACTTCTTCCTCATCGTATATATTTGTTATGGCCAGCTGAGGGGAATTCAAGTTTACCAACTTTAGCTTCAGAGTTATCAAGAGTACTACTTCGTGAGAACACGGAAGTAAAATGTGCTGAAGAATGTTCACCTCTACTTGGTGTGTGTTTATTTGTATACCTTGTTTCTGCAATGTTATATGTAATTCCTATTTTATGGTGTTTTGTTAGTAAAATGTTTAGATTAGTAGTTAGAGTTGATAATTTTCAGTGTCATGATATGCTATTTGTCCACAGTTTGAAGTAGAGAATCACTTTTCCAAGTCATGAAGGATAGCCAATGTGGGATGTTTTTGATACATATAAATTTTCCAGAACTGATTGAATTGGGACCAACACTTATCTGACTCATTCAGACTTTTTGTAATGCTTTATTCTGGGTGCTGGTTTTTTAAAGTCTGTAATTTTCATAGAGGAAGAATGTATTTGTAAAATCTCAGCGAAAGAATTTGAAGTAAATCCAACGTTTCGCCTGGCAATCTGGTTCAAGCTTTTCCAAGGAAAATATAATCAGACAACAAAATTATCGAATATAAATGGGTACATGGTTCTCTGGTTTACTGTATACTGAATAAGTCATCCAATCAACGTGAACAATGTTTGAAGTATGTATTTACATTAGTATGTAAGAGACATGTGGTGTGAAACGAAAAGTGGTAAGATAACAAATCGTGTGTATACTTAAGTGATGTGAGAAGAAATTTCATTCAACTATATATTGTCTTCGGTCTGTGTATATTAAGAAAACATATCATTTTATATATGATCTGAATCAAAAATGTCACAGCATGCATTAAATGATAAATAAACAAGATAAATAATCAAGATAAAAGACTGAATTCAAAGAGGAATGTATTTGTAATTGAAAGTTTGTGTTATTTTAATGTTCCAGTCAATTGTTTAACATATTCAGATAAGATAACTGATTTGAACCGTTGAACCTTGAAAAATCTTGGACCAGATTGCCAGGCGAAACGTTGGATTTACTTCAAATTCTTTCGCTAAGATTTTACAAATACGTTCTTCCTCTTTAATGTCTCACGTTAACTCGGCGCCCAAATATTACGAAACTATTCGTTCAAATTTAGACGAAAGTTTTTATTTATCTGTAATTTTCATAAGTTTTTTAAATTTGAAAAGACTCATCACACAGCATGGATTCAGAAGGCTTGATCGGGTTTTGTGAACTTACGTTACCTACGGCGTATGCGAGATATTCGTCTTCTAACCAAAAGGTGAGTCTAATGCGCTGCAGTGTGCTTCGTCCTACTTTATGGATGTAAAATGTGGAGATTAAGAGTAGAGAATATACGTAAGTTACTGATGCTTACGAAACATTGTTCGTGTATTTTGAAATCACGGAGTAAGCAATGTCTGGGTTAGGAACAGAGTACTAGGTAAAGATACAAAATCGATCAATGGGGTAGTAAATCTTCATCAACTGAAGTAGTTGTGACATATGTTACGTATACTCAACCACCGCCTACCTCTACGGGCGGTAGTATTTGGTGTAGGAGCAGGCCGGATGAAAGCTAGGGGCGATCAAACCAAGACGTGGCATCAATTCATGAAGTCATTGACAATTGGAGTGAGACATGTTAATACGTCTAGACTATCTGGTTGGAGTCCGTGTTATTTTCGCTCAAAATCGTTTGGAGTGGCACAAGTACATCCATTCTTTGTCTTCCTCCAAATTCTGAGATCCTGGATTACCCAAAACGTTTTTTGCTTTTATTTCATTAATTTATATTTTCTTTTTGAGTCGTATCTTTGATGTCCAATCTTTCCTACTACCTCAACTATTCTGGGACTTATTCTGATAACTTCATCTTTCTGTGCCGATGTACATAAGAACAGGGTACATCCTACCTGTGGTATTGGTTCGTTATTTCTGTAATATCACTTAAAAGATATATCACGAAAGCTAACGAATTTGCTCTGAAGTTGTGACTCAGATTTCGGGACTTGATTTTCTACTATTTCATTACCGGTTCAAAGTTCATCTAACCTACTACTATTCGTGTAACATATTTGCGTTGTTAACCAAATATGTCATCTAGCTTATTGATTGAGCCTACTGGTTATTGGTCAATTGACTGTGATAGTGATTTATTCGGTAAGGAAAATTGTAGTCAATATTTTTGCACTGATGTTAAATTGCATGATTGAATTATGCAAACCAGTGGATACTACTTTACGTGGCTGGTGAAATCAGAATAAATGAAATGAGCTTTAAATCTGTAATTCATTAGTTAAAGATTGTGTGCTTTAATCGCTAAATCACAATCCCACTACAGAATTTTCAAGGTTACAAGTTCAAGAAGTTGGGTGACGAGGGTGGAAATTTCACATTGGCCATCATTTCACTAAAGATTACAGGTAGATATTAGTGGTGAGTGTAAACTGGTACAAAACCTAGACCCCGTAGACTATCAACACAAGTTCTCAATAGTCATTGATATATATTGGAATTTAATGTATCAGTTAGAATCCTAATATTGTTTGCTTAAAAAGCATCTGTAAAACAATAATCTAGACACACTAATGATCTGAAGGGTTTTTTAATTATCTTACTCTATCCATTACATATACATTTTGAATCGGTACAATTTTAAAACTTTGCATGAATTTTCATGCGTATTTAAAGTCTACTATTGTCGGTCTGTTGTTCAACACTCGAAATGTTTACTATTTTGTTAAGCAGTTTTTGTAACATTGAATGCTTTTCTAACATACATCACTAGTTCAGATTAATGAGCGAACTACGGGAGATATTGGTTTTCATCACCTTAAAATATATTTCTAAGAAATGTTATCTCATGAGTATTCTCTTATAATAAACCTAACATAAAACCTATTTACCATGTGCGTATTTGTGTATTACTTGACTTTGAGCCACGTTCTAACTGTGAAGGCTAGTGATACTATCGTCTTGCCTAGACTGAAGTAGGTGGAGCAGTGTCCGAAACTGTCATTTAGTGGCTGAAAGTTGGATTTCTTAACTATCGTTTCGCTCTCCTATAAGTAGTCACTACATAGTTCTGTGAATCTTTCAACGCAACCCAAAACCTTCCGATCTCTTAGTTGAGACACTGCTAACGAGAATTTTCCAGTTTCATTCTGTGCTATCACCTATCCATTAATATGTAGGCACTATTATTGAATCACTCTTACAAGGAACATATACCTAACTGTATCTGTGTAGCCATTCAATTCAGAGTTAATAATAAATTCTCTTCAATGAAATAGGAGGAGTGTGGTTCTCTGTCCATCACTGTCTTCACTTTGTTTACTGATTAGGGATAACCTTACCACTGTTTTTTAACCTTAGGAATTGTTTGCGATATACATTTTTTGATTTATTTCTCGTACACGTATCTTCACAAATATTTTGTTATACTGATGAGTCAAAAGTTTGGACTTAACTACAATCAAAACAAGTAAAATTTAGTCTTCAATTCTTTATTTCTGAATGGTAAATTGCTGTAATTGTTATAAGAATATGGAGTAGGTGTAGTTTAATCGGAAAAGAAAATGTGAGCTACATATATCAAACGGAAATGAGGCAGTAGGAAACCCTGGATATAGGTTTCATATTATTTGGCAATCGTCAGCAAGGTGTACCTGTGGTCTTGAGGAAACGAATGCTCTCTGTCGGATTCGATTCAGTGTTATTTGATTGACAGAACTCAATTAGCATTAACAAGGATTCGACGTACATGGTACTGGTCACTACTCACTAACCAATCAATTGTAAGCAGTGAGATAAGCACAAATAATTGAGTAATTACGAAAAACAGTTGTATATACTTACCAGTCGTAGTGTAAATCTACGACCCCACTATGTGATCTGAGATCCAATGTTGTGTCTAACTTTAATCAAATGGTAATATTGTATGACCATCTTCTTCTGTTTTAGGTGGGTAACTGCCACCCACTCGACACGTTTGGACTCCACTGTCCGTTGCTTATCATTAGAATTACAGAAATTAGTCATTGCAAACCTTTATGCTGGTAACTCGGAATAAATTACGTTATTATTACCTAGTCCTGTTGTTATTTTTTTTTAAATAAACAGCATTGGATGAATTGATTACTGGTGATCAATGTCGGGCAGTATGTGAATTATTCCGTTTAGCTATATGGAAAGATCCTAATATATTGATGAATTTGTTCACTGATCCAAGACGTTTATTGCACAAATTAAGTACAGTTAAAACACCTTATGTAAAACCATGTGAATTTTACGATATTGAAGCATCTCGTGCAAAATTAGTAAGTATTTTCTGTGTTCTAAACTGACAAATTTTCTTTATATTATTTAGTAATCAGAGTGTCTTTCAATTTCCTCCCTTCCCTTATTACCTACTTCAATGAATTTTGTCAATCCAAGAAGCTGATTCAAGTTTACATTCTATATGAGTCATATTAACATGAACAATTTTATTGTATTTTGTTTATCACAATCCTAAATTCACATGCTCTAAACGATGTATTTTGCCCTTAACCTGGCCATTTTTTCGAATTATTAATTTGGATATATAACTGTAGAACCTGATGAGAATTTATCGAAAAGAATATTCTTCGTTCAAATACTAGTCTTTTAATATGACGGGGATCTTTAAACGAGAAATCGTTTTATTCATTATTTAATTTTACAATCAGGGTATAACGAAATTATTTTTAGTAGATTTTCAGCTACATTCACTGTATGTGTGTATTCTTTGACAATTTCCACATGTATATCGATTATGAAATGAGCATACATAAGTAGATATGATCTTTTTTGGTTATTTGTGAATTATGGAACTTTAATTTTAGCAAATAGTAGTGGGTTGTGTCACACATTGGCAAGCGTTATGATCAACACACTAAAGTATACACTTTATCAGTACGAAAAAAAAACTGATCAGTTAATTATAGTATTAACTGTAATATTACGATTCTTTGGGTTTAATATCACTTTGATTATAGCGTTTAGTATTAACTAGTGAGCTATTAATCACTCCTGTGAAACCGTTAATCAGTTGCAAGCAACATCGAACTTGGAACATGTGAATTGGTTCATGTTTTTATATCACATTATGAACACAGAAAGATGAAATTATGAAGATGGATACTAAATTAGTAGAAGTAGTAGTATCAATGACGATAGGAGATCGTTAAAGATAAAGAACATGTATCAAGTGTTATATCCCGTTAAGAATAATGAATAGAAACTGTTGGAATACATTTCTGAACTAATACTATACGTATATTTTTATTGTGTAATTGTTAAGTAACTAGACCACTCATTCGTGTTCTTCTTATTATAAGCTTTATTGTTATACCCTTTACCATTCTTGAGTTGTGCTCAGTCTACCAATTACTATCTCCCACATTCACAGACACATTAAGCTAAATCTTGTACAAATGTTGTTTCCTATTTTATGGTACGATGTGATCTTGTTGGCTTGTATATAAACCCAGTATGTTCGAAATACATGACTTATATCTCAGAGGCTGAGGTTGGTGTTCTAGACTTAACAGACAGGGCTAGGAGGGAAGTAGGACCGATAAAGACTCTAGACTGTTCGTACGGGTTTTATGTATCATTGGTCCGATTAATAAATCACTGCTCTCTAATCGGTGGTATCATTACGTTATACATTAATAGGGTTACCTTCGTTATCTTAAATACTAGTAACTTAGGAATATACTCTACTTTTAAAAATTATGTTTCACATTCGAAGTGATATGTACTCATTAAAGAATTGTAGGTATATATGGTCGACTTTTAATCACACTTTGTATGAAGTTTAGTGATATCCTACTAGGTTACCACAGCTGAAGTGATTCAAGGTTGAAACCTGGAACATGCTTGATTGAAAACCAAGTGCCCAAACTACGTTGGTGGATTTTCGTTCTTTGAGCTGGATGGTTTGGTCGTAGAGCTTTCAAGTAAAAAAGCCAACAAATGCATCATCTTAATATATATATATATAAAAGACCTCAGAAATCAAGAGATTATTGCAGCTGTTTAGAATAGGTGTACCACACGAACCAACAAAGTCATTTTAATCAATCTTATGCAAATCAAAGGGCAAAATGATAAAGGAATGAAAACTGGACATCATCTACCAAACAAACCGTTCTAGTTGCAGAAAACTCTATATCGGACAATGTGGATGCTCCCTTCATCTTCGACTGCACAAACATCAGTTAGTGTTCAAAGGCCAAGACACATATAGTCACTTATATTAATACAGAGGAAAGTACAAATCTTAGTGTATAAACTAAATTTCTTTTTTTAGTGATCGATGTTTTTGCTTGCTTATCTTTTTTAACTATTGTCTCTGTTTTTCTTTTCAGCTGTGCAACTGTTTAGGTTTATCATTGAACTGGACGATCATGCGTGATGATGATATGAAACTAGATATCAATAGTATTATGCAAATTAGTTTAACCCTGTTAAATCATGATGTTGAAAATCATTTATCCAAAGAGATTATGGGATCCGCTTCCACACCATCAACAGTAATAACACCCAGTTATTTACCAAATTTATTGCCAGAACATAAACTGGTCGGTTTAGCATTAGCCCACAATGTTTCCTTATATCCAACGGTGAGTTGCGTTTTTAAAAAAATTAAGATCACTAAACAATCTAAGTTAGGCATATATATATATATATATATATATATATATATATATATATATATAGAGAGAGAGAGAGAGAGAGAGAAAGAGAGAGAGAGTTTGAGGTCAGTCAGATTGTAGGGAAGATACCTCCACATTCTGCTGATGGCCAAACTATTGCATTTTGTTTTTGCTGTGTATTTCCGTTCAATGATACTACCAGCCTGAATAATTGTGAACAGTTGTATAGGACCTAGCATAAATAATACAAGGACCTAAGTTGTTACACTTTAAATCATTGAAACGAATGAGAATAAATATAATTTCTAGCAAAAATATAACGTCAGAATAATAATATCAGTGGTGTAGTGAGAAAAATTTGAGTGAACAGAATAAGATGAACAACTATCCAAGTGTTGGGGATGCAAAATCCCTATAAATCACTTGGTAAACATCTCATTTTTATAATTTTATTTTGGAAATTTAAACTTCTCATTTCCGCGCCAAAACGCCCACTTTTACCTTCAGTTTGTATTTCTCACTTGGAAGGACTTTAAATGTCATTGCTTCGTTTCCTCCTTTAGTACACTATTTCGTAACGTTTTCCAAGGACAGTTTTGTACTGTTTATATGCTCCCAAGTTATGTACTTGTTTATTCGTGTTTCCGTATTGCTTGTAGAATATGCATTTCCCTCGGCTGAATCTGGTCTTCTCCCTCTAGTTGGCAGGGCTGAGGCGCAGTGGAATAGTTTAGCTTGTCCTATTGTTATATTGCTGACTTTTGTTGAGTTTACCGGTTTTAGGTGATATCCTAATCTCTTCAAACGTAGCACCAAGGCAGAAATCGCTTGTAAATCTACCTATATTGAGTGATTCTATTCATTTACAAGCCCCGTAACAGTAGATTTCCATTAGTTTATAGATCTTTACGTAAAACTTTGAACTTTTTGTTCGACTTCAGAACAGCTTAAGGCAACTTAAATCGATGCTTTTATCTTATCACACGTGGCATATTTCAAATAAGTCTGTGTACTCGAATTATATTTTTTATTTATAATATGTAATATCTTAGTTGTTGGTTAGAGACTTTAAAAGATATGACTCAAAATCGTTTGGAATGGCACAAGTACATCCATTCTTTGTCTTCCTCTAAATTCTGAGATCTTGAATTCCTCATAACTTGTTTTGCTTTTATTTCATTAATTTATATGGGGTATGGCAATCTGAACTAATGTACATACTTACAGGTTCTACGTTGCGACTGACTGTTTCTTAGTTATTGGCTGTTACAAATTATCATAGTATGTTTTTTTCAGTAGTAATGAAATACACTTTTAAGGGTCTATTTTTTCTTTGATGGTGGGAAAGGATTTTAAAATCTTTTGGAACAGCTGGAGGTCATCTATAAAATCATTTTTCCTGGTAGGCATATTTATCTACTAATGTTGTTAGGATCTCTACTACATAACTCAAAAGTTATCTTAGCTTTGTAGGAAATTATTCATTCGTAGAATTAAATCGACACATCATGTCACTAGATAAACAATTGATTAATTAATTGTCAGTTTTTCTGAGTTACTCTAAGGGATTCTTGTTAGACGTATTAGAAAACTAAATATTGATATACTTTAAGAGGTCAACTGGTCTTATTTCAAATTAGTTCCAATATTTCATCATTTTAACGCTGTTCGCTTTCTTATTACATTTGGAATAATTTCAAAGTGTGATAGTCTTATTCTAGACAATTACTTATACAGTTAGCTAGTTAACTGATCACTAAGGCCAAGGTAATCACGCTTTGAATATTCAATTCAGTGTGTAATTAAAACAAATAAAGATTTCATTTATATGGTCTACTTGAAGCTAATTCAGTATGATGAAAAGAAATTAAAAGTTCTTAATTCAGTTAACTGAAAAAATGGTTACCAAGTTGTGTGCATTGCTGTTATGTATCAACATATACTTACAGTGTCCTTTAGAAATAGGATAAGAAAAAAATTTGAAGTGGTATTGCATCATCCAAAGTGGATAAATTCAATAAGATAAATGTTTATTTGATGTTTTATTAAGTAGATTATAAAATTTTGAGGGTAATGATGTTTATGGGATTTATTTAATCATTATTATTCACGTATGCAGAAAGAGTTCTCATTATGAACTGATGTCATTTAGTGTAAAAACAAGGAGCCCAATAGACAGTTGGTTCGATTTAATCATTCTGAGATGAGAACACACTTCATATTGTGAACTGGTTTCTACAAAATCTCCCCAAACCAAATTAATAGCTGTGTGTTTGTTAAAATTTCCGCAACAATTCTTGTAGGAGGTCTTAACTGATAAAATGAATGCATATCAGGAGTAAAACTCATCACCAATGACTTCGTGAATGACAATCACTCGTTATAAACTAGGGTTGATAAATATGGACCACTCTCTTGAATAGTAATATGGACCTGAGACGACCTGAATGTCTTCGCTTTTGTTCTCGATGGATTCATTGCGCTCACTAATGAAGAGTTTCAAACTAGAATAAAACATATATCTAGTGTTTTTACTGTTTTCTTTTAAAAGAATAATTTGTAGTCAGCATCAGTAGTCCCTCTTGAGAACTCTATCTCTACATACACTAGACCGATTTCCACAACTATCCTTTTTATCTAAATTATTAATTAAATGATTGGTTTCCAACGTTTTTTTATTTTTTTCATGTCAATGTCGATTCGGATGACTATGATAGCTCAGTGAAAATGAAGCGTTAGAACTGGGAAGTTATTTGTTACATCTAGCTGTAACAAGTGAAAAATCATTTAAATATCCAATCGATAGTAAGTTAATAATTTTTTTCCTTTTTTGGACGTGAGGGTTAGTTTCTTTTAAATTCTAACTTGAAGTGGAACCTATGACTTGATGGTTAAGGTGTTCAGCTTTCAATCACTAAGTAAGTCCTCACTCCACCTAGCTCGGTCCCGAGCAACCCGGTGTAGTAGCAACTAGCTGTCATCACACCCAGAGTGTGGTTCATATTCAAGTACCTAGTGAGGAAGTTAAATATTGAATCTTATTTTAACTTGATATAATATACTGTAAAATTAATAAAATATTATTGACAGTTAGAAAATTTATACTGTTCTTGTTCTGGCATGGTAATACTATCTTAATCGATATAAAGCCTGGGACAGATATACTCATCAGGTTATTCTAGCAAAGGCGAACAATACTTCTAAGAAACCTGTGATTTGATACTTACACCCTACATATTTCTTTTATAGGCTGTTTTGTTTCACAACTATATTGTAATTCAGGGTGAACTGTTGTGCAATATAGTCATTCCAGACGGACATCTCGTACTCACCACATATGACACAAGTCGGTAAAAGCTAAGGGTGTTTTACGAATCCATGTCGAGATTTAGTCAGTCACCAACCTTCCAGAGTTTATGAGATTTCAAAAATGAGTGAATCTACCAACACAATCAGATACTGCATTCCCTAAAATCAATTTAAAGGTTGATGAAGACCAGTCCTGAAACAGTATTTTGGATTCAGAAGGGGAGAAGGACATCCTAAACATGCTTGCATCGTTGCTTAAGGCTATCAGAAGACTGAATTTTGTCAGCGTCTTCATCAAACAAAACTATATCATCTTCATATTTTAAGTCAGTAATCTGATTTGGTAGGCGATCAATCCCTGAAAAGTCGGTATTTCTAGAGATTTTTCCATATAAATGGATAAGTAAGGGGTATTGATGAACAACACTTGGTGCCATCAGTTCTGATAACAGCTCACTATAGGTATTTTCAGACAGCTCGTGCTGTATGGTCACATTACCAAGTATCGTCTATTCGACGCCTTATATCCCAATATACTTTGAAACTTGATTAATATTCTTAGAACCAGTCACTTTTATCGCTATTGTAATCAATTAATAAAAACCTGATTTTTCCCAATTTAGATTTACTTCTGTTTTTATTTATTTAAACGAAACATTTTAGCAATTTATTTACTGCGTGCAGTCTACTTCTTAGCTGTACGATTTTCAAGTCTTGCTGACTTAGCCAAATGTTATGATATTGAAACATTTCTTCATGAACTCATTAATGAAAGACACTATTCAAATCATAATGTAATCCCGTCGTCATCATCATTAAACTCGTCAACTGTTCCAAACGAACACAAACACCAGGTTGACTACAAAAATAGTTTATCTCAGACCACAAGAACAAGCAGTCTTTTTCAACCTTCAAAGAATATAGAAAGTGGTATTGAATCAGATTCATTGACAACTTTCGACTATTTGATCGCTTCAAAACTGCTGAATTTTTTATCAAGTAATTGTGAATCAGATGAGATATAACAAAGCGCCATTAATTTGTGAATAATTTCAAAGTGAATATTATACTATTCTTGTTAATTTTAGGAAGTGACTTTTTATTTTTACCGTTTTCAACACCATCAGCGCTATCATCATCATTACTGTCATTGTTATTACTTGAAAGTGATTTACGTTTATTTTTTCACCGATTAATTTTCAATATTCATTCTAATATATTTTATTCATCCTACTTTCTGTTTCCTTCTCAACGTCAATTAATTAAGGTCTCGTCCAATATTCATATTGCTCGTTTTCTTTAATGACATTGAGAATATTATATTTTACTATTGAAAATAGACGGCTTTTTTCTTACATTTCTTATTTACCATTTCATTTAATTGTTTAATTTTGTGTGTGTATGTGTGGTTTTATCATTAGTTGTATTAGTGATATAGATGCCGAATCGTTGTCGACATAATACAGTTGACTTGGTCTTGTTCACGAAGTATTTGGTTTATATGAGTATAAGTGGAGACACTGTACAGCTGTTTTGTCGTAGTATATTAATCCTCAGCAGTATACATCCATGACCCCACTGCCGGTAATAGAAGCTAGAACATTCAGATCTCGCGATGAGGGATTAACCTTTAATTTACCAAGTCGACATACAGTGGTTTGTATTCTTAGTTTCGATGCCTGGTGTGGTTGTAGGTGTATACTGCTGACGATTTCACAATATTTCAGTTTTTTAGAATCAACACTAAATATATAGAGATATGGGGTTTAAAATTGTATGTATGTATGGACGTATGATGAATACGATGTTAGAATAGCTATCCGCGATAATAATATTTGTAAAGACACCTGATATCGACGACTTTCAGGGACTTATTAGCCAATCAAAAAGCGTCAGTTATGTAAGAATTGTTTAATAAACAGTTTTCACATAATGGATGAACATTCACATTATTGGATTATTTATGAAAGTAAACGGGAAAGGGTTGGGATTTAACATTCGAAGTCGGAGTAGAGCTATGAGACTGGGTTAGGAGTGCTAGAGTTAGGTGTATAGGTTAGGATGGAAGAATACTTTTTATCTACAAAAGTATCCTTTACTACTCATTGAGTCACATCAAACGCTCACTGTATTAGAATCAGTTATTCTTTATAACGTAATTTAAGCACCATCTTGTATTTACTGTGTGGTTGGATAAAAGATATTTTATTATTCTGAGAACTAGATATTGGCAGTTTTCAATCAGTTGTTAGCCCCCTGCCATTAGTTTTTGAATTTTGCTCAACAACTCAATGCCATCTTAAATCTGGTTGACTCGTGAATATAGCATATTTTTGTCAAAATATCTTCAGCAAAGCATAGTAATAATTAATAGATTAATCTTAATTCAAGTTGTTAGATATCAATATAACTGTATCCTAAAAGGAACGAATGTTGCTTACAACAGAACATACAAAACAAATGGATACAGTTTCAAAACTTTGCTCTTGTTTCAAGTACCCTAACGTTACAAACTTTAATATTACTATAAATTCAACTTTACATACTTTAATTCTAACTTTAAGAATGTAATTTTATGAGTTAGTATTATTTAAATTAATACATACAGTATTGATGATACCTAACGAATATGTAAAATACACAGTATTAATCCTCCCGTAGATATTCTACATCGTAAACAATACATTTACAACCACTTTATATTTATGACTAACTTTGAATGTCTAATTTCTTGTTATCTTAAACATATTTATCGTAAAAGATGTTATGCTAAAAGTTGTTTTATGTAAAGTTAACATTTTAAATCTGGTTGATAAATCCAAGTGACTAGTATTTATCAATTTTGGGTTGTGCAGTTTGTTGAACTATATTGAAATCATGAACCGAACTAAACTAGACTACTATTGAAAACCTGGAAGCGCTGAACGTCCGTTTCGTCTTAGTATGCGACTCCTTAGCAGCGCACACCCACTAATTCACATACGGGGATCGGAAATAGGATCAGTCACGCTCGCGAACTCGAGGCCACTGAGTAGAGATCCAACGGTGTCTATATCTAACTTACTGATATAGAATGCCTAGTGATTCTAGAACAAGTGAAATGACCTAATTTTTCATTTTACAAACCCGGATATATATTATATTGTTGCATGGTCAGACGGATCATATGAGTTCATAATGGTAAATAGATCATGTAAATACAAGGGCCTATTGTAAATGAGTTTTTTAGGCGTCTGGACTAAATCGTTCCTCATGTAACTCGTCATATAATAGGTATGATTTCTACATACACCCACTCTTAACAACATAGCCACCCACTTCCCTTAGTCCTGTTTCTCTTGCATAGTAAGGCATTTAGGAAACGTTAAGTCGCTAAATCAGATTATAGGAGAGAATGTATGAATCAATACGAGGATTTCCGTATTGTGCTCAAATGGTCCGTATCAGAGGACGCCATACCACTACATTGCCCACCAACATAGTCGGTGTTTGGACAAACTTAACATATATCCCAACCAACGCAGTTGATGACGATTTACTACCTCGTCAATCCGTCTGTCATGTTCACCCAAAATACACGAGCGATGCTTTGAAGACGCTTGTGATAGAATACTAATAACCTAAGAATAACCCCTATTCTCGATAGCCATGTTTCATGCTCATGGAGTACAACAAAGCGGACTGTTGTCCATCCTTTTACTGCAGACGCATAACTCGCATGCTTCACGACAGACGCGAATTGCCAAAGTTCAATCAAGCTTTATAAATCCGTGCCGAGATTTCGTCAAGGCTGATAAGACTTTCAAGAGAGCTGATAAGAGAAATTCTAATTGTATCCTTAAATATCTGGGTTATATATGTTGCCATAAATAATCTAGTATACTGAAGTAAACCCTGATATATAAATGTTTCTTACAATGTTCTGCTCTTGTCTGCAATATCTGTCTCAGGATGTACGCATGAAAAATCCCGTATAAAAGACAAAGTAGACAAGTTAATTAGAATGTGTAATTGTTCTAGATTTCATGACAGATTCCGTGTGAAATTGGTTAGCTATATTAAATAATCACCCTATACTTAGAATTAGTTTATTATTTTAAGGAACAAGTTCTGTTGAACAGTTTTTGAGCATAATAAAGCATTCATTCACTGTGCAACTGTTAACAACACGTTATTAAAGCTTAAATCTGATTTATTAATAAATAAAATGTATTGTTTTTAAGCAACATATCATTCAGGCGGATTGTTTTGTTTGTTTGTAAGGTCATCAACTTCTTGCTAATTTTTCTAGCTGATGTGCTCTTCAACGTTTTCTTTGTTCAGTAAGTGTGTTGTATCTAACAGTTTTAAACATATTCTCATTCGGTGAGTGTTGAATGTAATTTTCATTTCAAGCGTCTAGGATTATTAGTACCTGTTTAGTATGAACATGGAAATTTCGTGCATGACAACATACCGTGTATATAAATATTTAGTGATAAATTACACTCTAATACACGAAATCAACATAAGACAATAACTGAAAGTTCTAAATACAACACGCTTATTCAACGTTGAAAACGCTACGGATAAACTCGGCCAGTTACTTTTTTTTTCGTTTCTATAGATTAAAATTTACACATAAAATTGAATATTATTTCACATTTCACAAACATCAACAACAACAACCAGAAAAATATATGAATACAAGAAAAACAAATAAAATGATTGTGAACAATTAAACAGAACACAAAAATAGTTATTGACATTTCACTTTCATTCAGTATTAGATTAAGACAAGAGGATAATGAATGATGATGATGAGGATGACGAAATGTATGTGTGTGTGTGCGCTTGATTTTGTAATGCTAAAAAATAATATTGCAAAAAAAGTCAGCCATAATGATCAGATCATTTGTGATGTTTGTGACAGTTTTCCCTCTCTCTCCCTCTCTCTCTCTATTTTTAGAAGTTATCAAAAATCTTATATGAACTAGTTGATTAGTGATAGAAACAAAATTGACATTTATTGAACGCCTGAATATATGATTCATTAATAGTGTTTGAAATATGTTCCATATTTAATCATTATTGTGAAATGGTTACATCCAAATTAAAACAATTCACAACATACATAAATAGATGGTAACATTTTATGTAAGTAAATAATCTATCTAGGAAATTCATAACCGTTACATATTCTTAATTTATATTTGAAAATGTAAGCATTTGTTTAGATAGTTAATAAATTGAACATGAACAATAACAACAATAGAATTTATGTAATTGAACAAAATAATCAACATTACACACATGTAGTAGACATGTAATTTAGAATATAATAGGAATGAATAGTATTATTAACTACAAGCACATCCTAAAACAATTAAATTATGTAAAGTATGCATTTGTAATTCACGATTTGAATCCAAGTATAAAACAGACATACTAGTTAATTGAGTTGGATGACAACAAGATTGTACATCATCACGTTGAATATTTCCAAATTGTGATAAATTCTTACGTAATAATAAATCCATAACATCATAGTGTAGACTTTTTGTTGATGTGACTGGAAAATGAAAAAAAAGACGTATGTCTGTGATAAAAAATCAAATAATAAATTAGATACAAGAATCACTTTTTAATTTTTTTTCGAAAATAAAATAATTCATATCAGAAAGGTTTTGTGGATATTATAGTAATTTCAATGGTTGAGATCATGAGTTAATTGAAGCTAGACCGCTATGGAAGACTGATAGGTCCTGGGTCCGAATCTCGCATGGCGTGGTCGTGAGTGCGCACTGCCGAGGAGTTTCACAATAGGACGAAACGGCCGTCCAGTGCTTCCAGTTTTTCTATGGTTGTCTAGCTTCAATTGACTCATGATCTTAACGAATGAAATAAAATAATTGTTTAGACTAAACAAATTGTTAGGTATAGGACTATTGGTTGACAATAAGCAGTAATGCAATAATCATTAATGTGTATCCCTACTATTCCCAAAAATCTGTTAGAAAGACTAACAACAATCAGATTTGATCTTTTCATTCATTGAAAGTAAGAAGACTACTGTTCGAATATTGGAGACTATGCTCTTATAGTCTCTTAGAAAATTCGAGTACTTTTCTTGTAAAATAGAATCATGCTACAAAGCATTAGATTTACTTAACAAGGAACATCTTAATAAATTCAGCACATAAATCTCTTCGTATCGTTGATGGTAAGTCGATCAATTAACTAATAATACAAATTGCTAATATCCTCAATATTTAGCTATTCGAGTAACTGAGAAAAAGTGGATCTGAATATTTTATCTGGAACTACGACTAAAGATGATTATGTTTAAAGACGTCTTAGTATTTTTAGAAGATCATTACCCTTAAAAAGTTATTGGCTATCGGTATCCAGGAGCTTGATGTTTGGAGTGGTAAATACATAGTTTAGATCTCAGTGTGAACCTTGAGGTCGATATACTGGTAGGCCCAGTTGATGAAATACAAATAGACTAAAACGCACGTCTAAAGTTACGCTACGGATCTAAGAAAAATCTTGTTTAACATTAATAAACAACTGAAAATTATAGTAACCTACCTTTGCAGGATCCTCGACAATAATTCGGTTCAAAACTTTTCGGGTGTATAATCCAATTATCCCAACCAATATCAGAAAATTTAACAGATAATGGTTGTGTACAACAACTATAATGGTGTCCATTGGAACGACATACATTGTATATTGTCTCGTCTCCTTTAGTTAATGAACGCCTCTGTCTTTTTAAACGTGGACGATATTTAATTTCCATAACAACCTTAGGAATATATAGAAATATTAAAATAGAAATATAACTCTTGATAAATCATTTATGTAATTGAAAATGAATATGAGGTTCTTGGTATAAGAGATTGTATGATTTTCACAGTTTAAACCACAAGATAATTTTAGCCAGACGACCATTAAAGTAACTGTGGTTGCCAACGTAGTATCATAGAGGTTAAGTTTATATGATCGAGACTAAAGGTCCTGTTTTCGATCCTCGGACCCAGGGTTGTGAATGAGCACTGCTGAGTAGTCCCAAACTAGGACAAAACGGCTATTCTGTGCTTCCAGGTTTCCAACTGTGGTTTATCTAAAATCATTTCGTGGTTTAAACTATAGTTAAACATATTGATGGCTAAAGGAGGTATATACTTTTTGGGTTCAATGTAGTTCCAAACGATGAGGGACTTATTTCAGTTTACGCAGAAGCAATCATCATATTGTATCAACTTACTCAAAAAACTTTAATTTCTAAGATCCTATAAATATGCTATATGCAAAATATTATAGAATAAGATCAATCTGTAGTTAGGATAATTTAAGTTCGTTCCACAAAACACTACATTTACTCCTATTTAAGACACAGTAAACTCTTCAAGTTCTCCCATAAATTATGGGTGTATATTCGTGAAAAAATTTTAAGTGGACTATTTATTTTTTTACGACCACCATTTAAGCGGTTTTATTTTGTGGTAAAAACTATGGTGGTGTCAAATAACTAAAAGGGGATCGAACTAGTTAACACACTAATACAATCTTTAGAAAAATGACAATCATTGTAAAGTGCAAACCTGCTTTCAGGTTTTCCATGGTGGTCTACCTTCGATTGACTCTTGAATTCAACTATTAAAATTCCTATAATATCCATAGAACCCCTCGCTGATTATAAAATACAGAAATGTTAAGGTTATCATAACATCTGCTGAAATTCAGCAGCCTAATACAGGTCGACTTCGAAGCCCTTATCAATAGCATTCTTCCAATTTATTCTAATAATCCAACGTAAAGATTTTTAAAAAATACGATGGTAGCTCACTTATATTCCCAACCATCTTACGATTTTACTGATTAAATGCAGTCAACACTAAGAATCCAAAAAACAGGACATTTATAAGTTTAAAAAACAAATATGAATGGTAACTAGTAGTGGAATCCAGAACATGCGTTTCGTCCTATTTGGGACTCTTCGTCTGAATGTACCTGTATCTCAGAGTTAATGTTCACTCTGAGACTTAGGATGCATATATATCAATAAGAGACTGATCAATTACTGTTCTAAACATCAATCCAAAACTTCAAATAAACGATATAAAAATGATTCACTTAGTGTTGTTTTACTTCTATCATCCCATTGTTATTTAGGACTACAATTGATCAGTTAGCATATGTACATCCTGTGCGGGTTGCATCGATATCACCCTAAGTCACAAGCTTTTTAAGCACAGATAAATAGTGGCTAGCAATGGAATCCAGTTTGACGCACGTTTCGTCCTATCTAGAACTCGCCAGCTGGATGTACCTGTATCGCAGAGTTGATGTTCACTCTTGAACTCGAACCCAATAACGTTCGATTCAAACGTCATCGTGTTATCCAATTAGCTGCTAAGTCCCAAAAAAACAAGTGAATTTGTAGGTAATATTTATTGCATTTATCTTTTTTTTGCTAAATATTTATGTAATTTTACTAGAATATATAACTGTTAACTATATGATCTATTCAATAGTGAAATATTTATCAACCTTTTTTCCTCTAATATACAATTCATTAATATTAATATCAGATGGGTTTTGTGGAGATTGTAGTAATTTCAATGGTTAAGATCATGAGTCAATTGAAGCTAGACAACCATAGAAAACCTGGAAGCACTGGACGGCCGTTTCGTCCTATTGTGGGACTCCTCAGCAGTGCGCACCCGCGACCTCGCCTCGCGAGATTCGAACCCAGGACCTACTGGCTTCGCGCGCGAGCGCTTAACCACTAGGCCACTGAGTTGGCATCCAACGGTGGTAATGTCTAACTTCAACTAAACCACGAAATTGAGCGACACATTCACCATTGTCTTCAGTGAGTTACTATCTCATAACAAACGTGGTTGAATATTAGATTTAACATTAGATATCTTTTAATTACCTTTTTTGGATCAATAATATTTTGTTCATTATCACAATCATTACACATAATCATTAAATATCTTATTAATGGTTTATAGGCTTGAATTTTTATATGATTATATTTTAACCAATGAATCATACGGTTTGTAATATTCAATGTTATCATAGATGTCAAATTATTTTGAGGTATCATAGTTTTAGCTATTTCTGGTTTAATTAATTTAAACATTCTTTGGAAATCATTAATAGATAATCTATATGGATCATTGAATAAATTGGATGATTGAAATTTCTGATCATTTTCCATTTCATTATAATCATTGATATCAGTTTGTGGTAACGATTCAGCTGTTAAATCATCATTATCATTATTATTATCATTAATATCATTAAACCATAAAAAATTTGGTTTAAATAATGTAGGATGAATTTCCCATAAAGTGAAGATTGAATTTGGACGAATTTCACCGTTGATCTATAAAAAAATGAATAAAAGATATTTAAAACAATTAGTCTCTTTGATAAATTTCGATAGTGTAATGAGAGGACAACTTCGCCTCGAGTACCTCCGGGGGCTACTGCTGGTCCCAAGCCCGGATAAAGGAGGAAGGTTGGGCATGGGGTTTGCGACCTCATCCCGTAGAAAACTAACTCGCCAAAAAACGCTAATGAGAGGACGTAGTTTATCAGAATTATGTGATATATATTTGAGCAATACATTTTGAAAAATCTGATCACACATTACATACATGTTAAGAACATTGATATATGAAAATTAAAACGTCAACTAAACAATTAAGGGGGGGGTTAACGCATACCACAATGGTTGCAGAAACAAAGATTCCAATGGTCAAATAAGATCACAGGATAGACGGACATCCTCCTCCTTTGTGAAGCATTTGATTGAGACTGGTTATAAGGTTGATATCAAATAAGCATTTATAGTGGTGCTATATGAAAGCCTTCATGGACGTATACTAAAGTTTATTGAAGCATTGGCTATACGGAAATTAAAACCCCCTTTATGTGTTCAAAAACAAGTTATCCAGAGTGGTAATCACATTTGTTTTTGTGTACTTTATTATTTTTTCCTTTGTTATGACTTACCCTTAACCTGTCTAGTTGACCTTTTAATTTTCATATATAAATGTTTTTAACAAGTATATATGTGTGATAAGATTGTTCGAAATGCATTGCTCAAATGCATATCACATAATTCTGATAAACTTCGTCTTCTCATTGCATTATTAAAAGATATTTATTTCAGAAGTTATACCTATTTTGAGAATAAATCCACCTATAACTCTTTCAGAGTTACTGTCAGATTTCAAGTTCGGATAAAGGAGGAAAGTTGGGCATGTGATCCACAACCTCATCCTATAGAAAAAAACCTTTCTAAAAAAGAAAAACTTTAACCAGAATAAACAAAGTAATTTTAAATATAGTGATATTTATATTTGAAGAATTCAGTTTGAATATTATATCCACTGTTATATAAGATATTAGTTTGGGTTGACTGATATTATCTAACATAGAATGTATTGTGTTATGAATCTGATTGGTCGGTAATAAAATTCCTTTTCAGAATTCATGCAAATTAACGCTAACGAATAAAATTTCTCGGTAATTATTTAAAGAAAGCTGGTATTCCCAAAAAGATTGATTCATTCTTCACTAAATTATATAATTTATGAGCTATGTCATTGAACTAATCATGCCAAACCTTTATTAAAATAAAATGAATCATTGATTATTGTGAAATATCAAGATTTTTCGATGTTCATTTAATTAACTGAATTTTCAATATGGGTTTGTTGAGATCATAAATCGATTGATGTTAGACTACCACTGAGAATCTGGAAGCACTGGACAGCTGTTTTGTCCTTATATGGGGCTCCTCGGCAGTGCGCATCCACTACCCTGCTCGCGGGATTCGAACCCAGGACCTTCGATCTCGCGCACGAACGCTTAACCTCTAGACCACTGAGCCGGCTGGCATCCAACAGTGTTGATGTCCAACCAATCCACAACCAACTTCCATTGCACCGAGGTTGATATCGGTCTCTACCTGACATGGATTAGCTCCATTATTCATGGCTTCTCACTAGAACTCCGAGAGTTCCCTCACGAATCTAGTCACTGAATTTTGTTAAAATGCAAGGCTTCTTGTAATTTTCAACTAAAATGTCCAGTCGTAGAACAACACGGCTACTTTTTAATAACCATGAGTTTGTGGGTTGTTTAAATACTGATTATAGTCATAAATAAACCATAAAATATAAATTTTAAAAAAATTGATGTCAAAATCGGTGACTTATGTAAGATGTGCATGAAAATGTGTTACTTACTACTTATAAGTAGCTAGAGTATTTGCACCAAATTTCTGTCAAAATGAAAAGTGAATGATCATTTGTACCTCGCTGACGTTACCTCTTCATTTTTATCATCATAAATGTATGTCAGATATTCCATATTGATATTCGTACAGATGAACCCGAGTTTTTTTAAGACCATAATAAGAAGCCTGAGTCAAAGAGTTTGACTTACTTTAGTCGGTATTGAAATACAGCCTATATCAAGAGTAATTAATAGAAGTACTTATCCAAAGAATTCAAATTTGATACCAGGAAAAGTTAAGATTATAATGAGCATGCAACTGTCAATAATTAGAATGAAATCGTTTCACACGAAACTAGCATAAATTGATGGATTAATTAGTAATAATATTCATAGTAGTACATCACAGTTAGTAAAAGCCTGAATTATCCCGTTAGTACTATTATTTAGGATTGATACACGGAATAATCCAAAACATTACTAGTAATGATACGGGCAACTTAAATAAGTTGGTGCCTATCATGATTCAAAAGCTCAGCGGATAACATATTGGGTGTTTAGACTGAAAGCTATGAAATCAATGTGAGTATCAACACAACTAAGACTTAAATCTCTCCCTATATTCTACTGCTAGCCACAAATTGTCTACCCAGAGAAATTATATTGTTCTTAAAAACGATGATTTCAGGTTCATCTGTTTGTAATTGAGCTTGGACTATAAAATTTATTTGTAAGTAAGCCTGATATTGTTTTATAAAGTAAAACAGTGTCAGATTATGTCATCAAACACACTAATACTAGGGAATAACCTAATTAGTACATTAGGGGAGGTTCGAACCCCGAGTTTGGAGTTTTATTCATAAAGCTTCCATTGTCCTTCTGGACAAGGTTATCAGTAAAAACTTCACACAGAAGTGAGCCATTCGAATTTCTTTACATACAACAAATAACGTGTTCTATTGACGTTGATCTTGAATGGTTGTTGTTGATTCATGTCTGATCACTTATTGCATAGTTATTTCATTTGCACTTCCATTTAAAATTATTTTCGACCTTATAGTTGTCGGTGATTTTTCCAGTTGTTTGGTGAAATTGGATCAATGTCCATGCGTTTATTGGTTGCTGATTGACTTGAGTGCCATGTTCCAACCGGCGGCCTGCTTGAATATCTGGGCTACCTGTTCCACCGATCTAGATATTTCATCAAGTTATCTGTTTTGTTGTTTGTTTTAGCACATCACTATGTCTATTGTGCGCACAACCTATTCAGGCGCGTTTATGAAAAGTTTACAACCTTTCGCTATACGGGATACAAAAAGGTACAATCAGAGACATCATGGTTGCTGGCAATATGCATTGAAACAAATGAACAGTAATCAAATGTGGATTACCGAACTTCTAACATCTAACTGGTCATCATTCAAAATTTATCGTCACAATCGATCAAGGTATAAGAAAAGGAAACTTGTTGAAATATTTTATGCTGAGAATTCTATGTTGTACCAAAAATATAATGTTGAATAAAGCTTCTAATAATAAAAAAAAAAGTCTTTGGTCTTCTAATTATTCCCTCTTTCCAATATTTTTACATTACTTCAATCGAATATGCATCTTAAATTGTTTACATGCATTGATATAACCGGGAATGTATCCCGGCTTTTGAAATGCTACAAATATCTACTATTGCCTTAGTGAGTCTAAAACCATGTAGTACATAGCCTATCAATTTCAACTGTTATCCATCTTGACAGTTCAGCATTGATATTTTAAAATAGAGTACATCAGTTTGATATTTCGAAATCTTTAAATGAGACTAGTAGATCATCGAATACTAGTGTGTGGCCGTAAATGCAAACATCTTAAGCCCGATTTATGTGCCGAAAGACAATCTTTTGTTACCACCATAATATTATCTTCATTTTATGACATCTTTTCTCTAACTCTTCTCCATTATTTTGAATCTATTATTTTCAGTATGTGGATTTGCGGAGATCGTAGTATTATAACAATTGAATTCACGAGTCGATCTAAGCTAGACCATCAGTGAAAATCTGAAGGTACTGAAAGATCATTTCTTTCCAGTATGGGACTTTACTGCCCCACATTCGGGACTCGAATCCAGGATTTTTTGTCTCGCGCGTGAACGCTTAACCTCTAAGCCACTGAGCTAGTATTCAAGGGTGTTAATGTTTAACTTCAATCCATCCAGGACCTTGCGCAACCGTTCATCCATTGTTTGAGGTGGATAACTGTTTCCAGCCTACACGGATTGGACTCCACTGGTCACGGCTTATCAATAGAACTCCAGGAAATCCATCTTGAATGGATGAGTGGTTACGCAGGACCATTTATCATTTTCATCACTTTAATTTTTTTTAAATGACTTATACCAAATTGTGTTATACTTCATTATTATTATTAACCAGTGTTTAGCTATTTCGTTGTGAACTTCTTAACTTAACGAACTTCGATTACTGTATTTTGAGTCTGATTAAGTTTACTGGTATCTTCACTGAATTGTAATGATACTTATTCAAATCTGAATAAATTAAAAATAATAAGTGTAATAGAATAAATTGGATTTACTTATTTGGTGGACTCTTGTCAAACTACCTGCAATCTAGAAGTGATTTTAATAATTATTTACAATCAATCTAAATATCTTATAACAATAATAATAATAACAATAATAATAATAATAATAATAATTATTATTATTATTATTATTATTACTATTATTATTAGACAGATAGGCAACTGACGAGAATCCACAAATCAAATGAACAATACATCTTATTATCATAAGCTTTTGTGTGAGACTATAATTTATGAACGAACCAATCGGTTATAAGATAACAGGTCTTGGATTTTGGCGCAAAATTCATTCATACATTTGATTAATTAATGTTTTGGCATTATAGCTGATGCCATTTCGTGGTGAAAACCCTAAATCTAGTTCCTAACTCTAATCATCAACTGTAAATCATAATTCTAATCCCTTACACTATTTCATATCATTCATTTAGTCCTAGTTATTAGGTAGACACTCTCAAGGTCACCTTAACACTGCTCATAGGTCGTCCATAAATTATAATCTCACCATAATACGGATTGTATAGAAAAAAAAAACAGTAGTTG